CTCAAGCATCATTTTATTTATTTTTTATTTTTCTTCCTGACTCCCCAAACTTGTTATCAAGCATCATTTTAATCTTTTAAATAGTATAAAAATCTTACCACCACCAAAATAGTAACTTTGTCTTTTAGATATTATTAAAATCAACCATATTTAACAAGCTTTAAAAATAAAATGCATCCCTTGCTCAAGAGACAGCTACAATTAAACCATCACTGAAAGATGGGCAGCTGATTTTGAAACTCTTAAGGGAAAAAGATTTGGGAATAATTATCTATAACCCATTCTAGAATCAATCTTTTCATCATTTTAAATATTATATTCACTATAACTGTATCGTCTCTGCCATTATATACATTTTTTTTATTTTTATTTCTATTTTATTTTATTTTTGAGACAGGGTCTTGCTCTGTTGCCTAGGCTAGAGTGGAGTGGCACAATCTCGGCTGACTGCAGCCTTGACTTCCCAGGCTCAAGCAATCCTCCTACCTCAGCTTCCCAAAGTGCTAGGATTATAGGCGTAGCTAGCACTACAGGCATGTGCCAGCACACTCAGCTAATTTTGCTTACTTTTTTGTAGAGATAAGGTCTCACTATGTTGCCCAGGCCTCCCAAAGTGCTGGGATTACAGGCGTGAGCCACCACACCTGGCTTCTGCCATTATAGTTGACAATAGAGATGAAAAGGTAAATGGTGAAAGCATTGTCTTAAATTTTATGCCACATAGTTGCATTATGATTATTTCCCCAAAAATCTGTTCGCTGCTGTAGTTGAAAACCAAGAAGTGGGGCGGGCTTGGTGGCTCACACATGTAATCCCAGCACTTTGAGAGGTCAAGGCGGGTGGATCATGAGGTCAGGAGTTCAAGACCAGCCTGACCAATATGGTGAAACCCTGTCTCTACTAAAAATACAAAAATTAGCCAGGCGTGGTGGTGCACACGTGTAGTCCCAGCTACTCGGGAGGCTGAGGCAGGAGAATTGCTTCAATCTGGGAGGTGGAGGTTGCAGTGAGTTGGATCACGCCACTGCACTCCAGCCTGGTCAACAGAGCGAGACTCCATCTCAAAAAAGAAAAAAAAAAAAAACCACCATGAAGTGGTTCTACATATGTTAGACAAGTTATTCTGACAAGCCCAACTCCCTGAGTAGCCCTTTTTAAACCTAGCACTCCAAACTATACCACATATTCTAAAACTAATTTTGTTTAAGAATGTAAAAATTTTAGAAATAATGCCTCATTAGGTATCCCACTGATTCTTCCCATTCATTCTCTGATATGTTTCAGTGTTTCTTTGAGATGAATGTCTTGCTGTCCTGCATAATGACAACATTACTCCTTTGACAATAATCAGGGAACCATGGAACTATCTTTCCTGTACAGATAATATAAAAAGTAGACTCGTTGGGCGCAGTGGCTCACACTTGTAATCCCAGCACTTTGGGAGGCTGAGGCGGGCAGATCACCTGAGGTCAAGAGTTCGAGACTAGCCTGGCCAACATGGTAAAACTCCATTTCTACTAAAAACACAAAAATTACCGGGTGTGGTAGCAGGCACCTGTAATCCTAGTACTTGGGAGGCTGAGGGAGGAGAACTGCTTCAACCCGGGAGGCGGAGGTTGCAGTGAGCAGAGATTGTGTCGTTGCACTCCAGTCTGGGCGACAAGGATGAAACTCCGTCTCAAAAAAAAAAAAGTAGACTCACAGTTCAGAATGCCACTTGTCTTCCCACATGGAATCATTTTCATGTCTGAGTGTCAAGTGTGAGACACAGTACTAATCAAAGAGACTGACCAACATTTTCCATCCCTACAGATACAGTCCTTAGCACAGAGATGGCACTGTCATAAAAAGCAGAAATGGTCTACAATGCTCAGATTTAAGGAAATGACAAGTTTTGAAAATCACTAGAACCTAGCAGTAGCACAGCCAGAATAGAATTTATTTCCCGTATCATCCTGCTAAATATTTTCCAAGCCATTGATGCTTCAGGAAACTTGGATAGGTAGGTATGGCAAAGAAAAATCTAGGAAAAATAGCTCCCAAGAATTCAGAGGAACTGGCCCAGTAATTACACTTTTTTTTTGAGAGGAAGACTCATGCGGTTGCCCAATCTGGAGCGCAATGGCGTGATCTCAGCTCACCGCAACCTCTGCCTCCTGGGTTCAAGTGATTCTCCTGCCTCAGCCTCCTGAGTAGCTGGGACTACAGGCAGGCACCACCAAGCCCAGCTAATTTTTATATTTTTAGTAGAGATGGGGTTTCACTATGTTGGCCAGGCTGGTCTCGAACTCCTGACCTCGTGATCCACCTGCCTCAGCCTCCCAAAGTGCTGGGATTACAGGTGTGAGCCATCACGTCCGGCCTCAGTAATTTCACTTTTAAGAATTTAAGGAAATAATAGAGCAATATACAAAGAGTGTGTATACATGTACACTTACACACACACCTATATAAGAAATAAGACTATAAAGAAACATATACCAAAATTTTCTCAACAGTGTCTTTCTCTGAGTTGTGGGATTATCAGTAATTAAAAAAAAAAACTATGCTTACCTGTATTCTCTTTTTCTGTATGCACAGAACTTGCATAATAATTAGGAAAGGCACTGAGATGTTTCCCAAAAGTATTAAGTACATACTGCCATGTATTAGGGAAATATGCAAAACATGAAACCTTTGGAGAAACCAAGTAGCACATGACATAATTTTATATCCTAAACTAACAAACCAACTGCGTAAGAGACTTTTTTTTGAGAGACATGGTCTCACTTTGTCACCCAAGATGGAGTGCTGAGGCATGATCACAGCTCACTGCATCCTTGACCTCCTGGGCTCACGCAATCCTCCCACCCGAGTCCCCCGAGTAGCTGGGACTACAGGCATGAGCACTAATTGTTTTATTTCTTATAGAGACAGGGTCTTGCTATGTTGCCTGTGCTCGTCTCGAACTCCTAACCTCAAGTGATCCTCTCACCTTGTCTTTCCAAAGTGTTGGGATTACAGGCATGAGCCACTGTATCTGGCCTACAAGAGACTTTTTAAGTAAGTATTATATGCCTTTTAATTTTTTTTCTTTTTTCTTTTTTTATTTTTATTTTTGAGACAGAGTCTCCCTCTGCCCCCCAAGCTGGAGTGCAGTGGCGCAATTTTGGCTCACTGCAACCTCCGCCTCCTGGATTCAAGTGATTCTCCTGCCTCAGCCACCCCAGTAGCTGAGATTACAGGCATATGCCACCACACCTGGCTAATTTTTTTTTTTTTTTTTGGTAATTTTAGTAGAGATGGGATTTCACCATATTGGTCAGGCTGGTCTCAAACTCCTGACCTCAGGTGATCCACCCACCTTGGCCTCCCAAAGTGCTGGGATTACAGGTGTGAGCCACTGCGCCTGGCCTCTTTTAATTTTTCTTAAAAATTTACTCTTCTTCACCCTACGATCATTTTAACGCTTCCACAAGTTTTGCATCTCTGGAAGGAGAAAGACAAATGATTAATTCTTCTGATACTTTTGTCTGCAGAAAAATCGGTACCTAATGGCATACCTGATAGTTTGAGGTCTAAAATCCTCATAATTCTGTTTTAAAATTCCACTTCCATCCCTTCTCACTTACCCCAATGTCCAAAATCCCATGTCTAGGAGAGTAAAATTAGGACAGACATCCCTTTTCCCCCAGATATTCACATACGTATGTATATGAACATACACATGTGCATATTTATTTATATTCACTTATACTTAATATGCACTTAAGGTATACAGCAAAAAAGTCTAGATACAGAGACCATTATCTTGACAATATAATTACTAGGTTTAAGGCCTGGAAAATGCAGCTTACCATGTAAAAATATCTCACCACAAGAAATCAGTAATTTTCAAAGCTGGTAAAACTATCAATTCTACTCTAAAAAAAAACCTCGAGGCTACAGGTAGGTTGATAGGGTAAATACTAAAATTAATACCAACTGGGTTGCTATTAAGCTTACCTTACAGCTTTGAAAAACTCTGATTTCTTGTGGGTTTCAGTGGTGAGCTGCATTTCCTTAGTTTCAGCCGACTTCCCAGCAGGAATTCGAGTCTGATGAAAAATCAGCAAAAGGAAGCCCTCACTGAGAAACATACTGGTATCATTCACTGAGTGGAGACAGTGAAGAAGGAACATATTTCTAAAGGCAAATTCACATTAGTAATATATATGTTTATATGGTAAAGACGGATTTAATTTCTTATGGCAGAAAGAACAATTAATTTTCCTTGAAAACCTGATTGCTTTTTCTACAACATGTTTGCTTTTACCCTACCTATCTCTTTGAGATATTCATTAGTCACAGTTCACCCCTTAAGTGCCCTTTAAGAAATCAAAACAAAAAACCTTTAGGTCTAAATTTGAGCAGTAGTTATAAGACATCTTCTGGCAGCAACGCTGGGATCTTATAGCAGAAAAAAAAATTAGTAAAACAAACCTTTAACAATTTTTTGCATCACCTTTATCAACTGGGATACTACCTCTCAAATCTGTGACAAACAAATCTGGAAATCTTGCTTCATCTATATAGAAATCGGTTAAATTTTTAAAGTATTTGATAATTTCAAGAAAAAACACGTTTTCTAAAATGTCTTTAACACAGTAATTCACAAGAGTATAAACGTAGAAATAGAACTTTGCTTTAAAAACATCCTGAAATACATACCTTTCATTACTTATTCTGAATTATAAGGTTTATCATATTTAAACCTTGTTCTAGACTAGTACTGTCAACAAAGCACCAGTACCCACAGGTAGTTAAATTTAAATTTAAATTAATTAAAATAAATTAAAATAAAATAAAATGTTCAGTTCCTCAGCTGTACTAGCAACCTTATTAGTGCACAATGGTCATGTGAGGTTGGTGGCTACCTTATGGAACAGCACAGATCCAGAGCTTACTGCAAGAAGTTCTATTCAATAGCATTGCTGTAGACAAAACCTAAATGGGGAGACAGCATAGTTAAAAGGCCTTACCTGGTCTGAGGAGGTGTGGGTGTGTAAAGGGGCTGGGCTGGCCTAAGTATCGGTTTGGAATCCTCCTTTCTGGGACAGGATGAAGGGAGTACCTTCGCTGTGAACACAACATACATCCTGAATGAAGAATAAAGAGGGCGAAATGAAACAATAGATCTAAGAAGTCTTCATGATATAAATACACTTCTCCATCTCCAGCAGTTTGGATGCTTTAGAAAAATGCAAACTAGTATTTCCTTCCTTCTCTCCTTCAATATTCATTTATTTATTTTTAAGACAGAGTCTCACTCTGTCGCCCAGGCTGGAGTCAGTGGCTCAGCCTCCCTAGTAGCTGGGACTACAGGTATGTGCCACCAAGCCTGGTTAATTTTTTTTAATTTTTGGTAGAGATGAGGTCTCACTATGTTGCCCAGGCTGGAAACCCACACCATTTTCTTTGTAATCATCTTAGAAACTATGATTTTTCTTTTTTTTAAATCTTTTTAGAAGAAACTATGCTTTTTCTAAACAATCCTCTACAAACTTAATTGGAATTAACTTTTAAGACTCCTCTCTTCCAAATACATATATTATTATTCATAATTCACAGTCCTTACAGAAATTGTGTGTTCACAAAGAGACTGTACAGTATTGATCGTTGAGATCAAACAGAGAGGACCTAGTGAGCAGCAGCGGGGAGGGATAAAAGCAAAGATTACAAAGTCAAATAAACCTGAGTTTGAATCTCTGTTTCTCTGGTACTAACTGTGTAACCTTGTCCAGATTACTTCTCGGAGTCTGATTCTGTGTTTGTAAAACAATGATGATAATGCCTACTTCACGTGACAGTTAAAAATTTAATTCCTTAATTTAGAATGCAAAGCCTTCAAAGCCCTCTTATCTTCCTAATCTTTTCATCTCCCTCCAGCAGCACTAACCCGCTGGTGGAGTAGGCTGCTGCTGCACTGGTGAGTTCTCTCGTGATTTCTCTCTCTCCTCTTGCACCTTCTCCACATGCACGCTTGTGCACACATACTCATGCACACATAGTATCTTCTGTAATCTCATTCGGGAGTGAAATTTCAGAATATAAAAAGTTAACTGATTCCTTTTTAAATGCTCATATGAAATAATCCTAGCATATCCTTCTATTTTGGACCACTCTCAAGCAGAGGGAGCTTAACTTTAATAAATTCAAAGCAAACAAGTGACACTTTAACAGGAGACATAAATTGAGATGTTTATTCCCAGTACATTTTTAAAAAAGGTCTCAATAGCTTTTTACTTACATTAAACATCTTTTGCCCAAAGTCATGTAATTAGTAGCAAAGCTGGTGTGTTAAGTTCTATTTCAAAAATATCCAGTTCATTCATAAGTTTCAAACTCTTTTGCTTAGGAAACTTCGTGATTTGGATCCTGCTCCCTCATCTGACCTAATCCTCAAAAAACATAATTGCAGCCACACTAAGCTACTTGAAGAATTCCGGCTAAATCATTCTGTATCATAATAGCATTTGCATGAAAAAATACAGTTCTCTTAAAGAGGACACTGCCTGCTTATATGATTACACAAATTCTTTAAAAAATCAGCTCAAATAGCACTTATGCAGGAGACTTCTCTTACTCTTCTGACACCTACTGCTTCTGTTTCAGATGTCTTTGCCAATGCTCCTATGGTTTCTATTTTAATACCTACTACACTTCACATAATTGCTAATTAGTTTGCCAGTCTACTATGAACAATCTTTGGAAAAAGAGATAACTTGTTACTTGACTTTATTTTCCCAGTGACTTGATTTGGAATGTATTTTGAAGTTAAAAGTCAATGAGTCTGGCTTCTGATTGGACATAAGAAATAAAAAAGAGGAATTAAGAGTAATTCTTGATTTTTGACTTCAACAAGTGAATAAATGGTTGTACCATTACGTGAAACAGGAAAGCCTGAGATATTTATTGGAAATAAATTTAATGGAGAGGTCAAATGAGCAATCTTAATTTCAGGGAGAAAAGTGCCAGGCTAGATATATAAATCAAGGTGTTATAAGCACACAGATAGCATCTAAAGCCCTGGGAATGGGTATTACCCAGGGAAACTGAACAAAGCCTGGCACTGTAATATTTTAAGTGTGAGAAGGAACACAGGAGAAAGAAGGAAAATAAGAAGAATGTGGTATTTAGGGCCGGGTGCGGTGGCTCACGCTTGTAATCCCGGCACGCTGGGAGGCCGAGGCAGGCAGATCACTTGAGGCCAGGAGTTCGGGACCAGCCTAGCCAACATGGCTAAACTGTGTCTCTACCCGCCACCCCCTACCCCCCACAAAAAAAGAGTGTGGTATTTAGGAAGTTAAACAAACAAGTGTTTTCAGAAGTGGGGAGGGCCAGGCCAGGCGCGCTGGCTCACATTTGTAATCCCAGAACTTTGGGAGGCCAAAGTGGATGGATCACCTGAGGTCGCGAGTTCGAGACCAGCCTGACCAACATAGAGAAACCCCGTCTCTACTAAAAATACAAAATCAGCCGGGCACGGTAGTGCATGCCTGTAATCCCAGCTACTTGGGAGGCTGAGGCAGGAGAATGGCTTGAACCTGGGAGGTGAAGGTTGTGGTGAGCCGAGATCACACCATTGCATTCCAGCCTGGGCAACGAGTGTGAAACTCCATCACAAAAAAAAAAAAAAAAAAAAAAAGAAAGAAAGGTGGGGAGGGCTCACAGTGTGGCAAGTGCTTCAAAATATAAGGAAGCCAAAAGGACGACCACTGGATATGGTAACATCAAAGTCACTGGAGACCCTGGCGATTTCAGCAGAGTAAAGAAGACAGAAGGCCGGGCGGGTGGCTCACGCCTGTATCCAGCACTTTGGAGGCGAGCGGCGGATCACAGGTAGGAGATCGAGACACGGTGAAACCCGTCTCTACTAAAAATACAAAAAATTAGCCGGGCGGTTGGGGCGCTGTAGTCCAGCTACTCGGGAGGCTGAGCAGAGAATGGGTGAACCCGGGAGGCGAGGTGAGCCGAGATCGCGCCACTGCCTCAGCTGGGCGAAGAGCGAGACTCCGTCTCAAAAAAAAAAAAAAAAAAAAAAAAAAAAAAAAAAAAAAAAAAAGAGAGGTGCAAGGAAATATGATGTAAGAAAGCAAAGACGGCCGGGCGCGGTGGCTCAAGCCTGTAATCCCAGCACTTTGGGAGGCCGAGACGGGCGGATCACGAGGTCAGGAGTTCGAGACCATCCTGGCTAACACGGTGAAACCCCGTCTCTACTAAAAAATACAAAAAAACTAGCCGGGCGAGGTGGCGGGCGCCTGTAGTCCCGGCTACTCGGGAGGCTGAGGCAGGAGAATGGCGTAAAAACCCGGGAGGCAGAGCTTGCAGTGAGCTGAGATCCGGCCACTGCACTCCAGCCTGGGCGACACAGCGAGACTCCGTCTCAAAAAAAAAAAAAAAAAAAAAAGAAAAGAAAGCAAAGACACTGAGACAATACTCTGGATAAGTTTTGTTGTGAAGAGGCAGAGAAAATGGCACAGCAGATGGCTGGGAGGCAAAGGATCATCAAAGTAGGGGATAGCGGCAGAAACAAGTGCTCGTCTTATAACTTTATACTCCACTGAAATTAGTTTTTTCAAACTATATGAATTTCTTAAGAGCAGAATTTCCTATTTTCTACCTTCTCTCTGTATCATTGTGTCAGAGGCGTTCGAACCAGAGCAACTCCATCTTCAGTAGGGGTCTGGTAAAATAAGGCTAAGACCTGCTAGGCTACATTCCCAGTTTAAGTTAAGGCAGTCTTAATCACAGAATGAAATAGGAGGTCGGCACAAAATGCAGGACATAAAAACCTTGCTAATAAAACAGGTAAGTTATAGTAAAGAAGCTGGCCGGCTGGGCGCAGTGGCTCATGCCTGTAATCCCAGAACTTTGGGAGGCTGAGGCAGGCGGGTCACCTGAGGTCAGGAGTTCGAGATCAGCCTGACCAACATGGAGAAATTCCCTCTCTACTAAAAATACAAAATTAGGCCAGGCACGGTGGCTCATGCCTGTAATCCCAGAACTTTGGGAGGCTGAGGTGGGCGGATCACGAGGTCAGGAGATTGAGACCATCCTGGCGAACATGGTGAAACCCCGTCTCTACTAAAAATACAAAAAAATTAACCGGGCGTGGTGGCGGGCGCCTGTAGTCCCAGCTTCTTGGGAGGCTGAGGCAGGAGAATGGCATGAACCCGGGAGGCGACGGAGCTTGCAGTGGGCGGAGATCGCGCCACTGCACTCCAGCCTGAGAGACAGAGCGAGACTCTGTCTAAAAACAAGGTGGTGCATGCCTATACCAGCTACTCAGGAGGCTGAGGCAGGAGAATGGCTTGAACCCAAGAGGTAGAGGTTGTGGTGAGCCAAGACCCCACCATTGCACTCCAGCCTGGGCCGTAAGAGTGAAACTCCGCCTCAAATAATAATAAAAAAAATAATAATAATAACAAAAAATTAAAAATTAAAATAAGCCCGTCAAATTTAGATATTGCAAACATCTTCTCCTAGACTGTCACCTTCCTGTGAACTTTACCTGTGATATTCTTAGTAATAAAAATATTAAAAAAAAAAAAAAGAAAAAAAAGCTGGCCAAAACCCCCTAAAACTAAGATGGCAATGACAGTAACCTGATTGTCCTCACTGCTACACTCCCACCAGCACCCTAAGAGTTTACAGATGCCATGGCAACGTCAGGAAATTATCCTATATGGTCTAAAATGGGGAAGCATGAATTTCTGTTTAGGATATAATCAAGAAATAACCATAAAAATGGGCAACCAGCAGCCCTTGGGGCTGCTCTGCCTATGGAATAGCCATTCTTTATTCCTTTACTTTCTTAATAAACTTGCTTTAACTTTACTCTGTGGATTCCACTGAAATTCTCTCTTGCACGAGATCCAAGAACCATCTCTTGGGGTCTGGATGGGGACCCCTTTCCAGTAACAGTAGGTTCTTAATATCTGTTTGTGGAATGCCTAGAACCTAAACTCTTTAAGTCCTGGTCTGAGAAATGCAGTAGAGTGGAATGAGGAGAACCTGGAATTAGACTCAAGTTTAAAAATCAGGTTTTTCACTAACAAGCTACGTAGCCTTAGACAAATTACTCTATCTCTCAGAACGTCTGTTTTCGTATGGGCATAAAATACTTATTTTGCTATAATGCTGTGTCAGTGAAATGAGCACTTGCTGCAGTGTGACTCAGAGGGTACCCAAAAATGTTCAACATTATTAGTTACTATTTCCAATGGCAGGCAAATTATAATCATGGGTATGCCACACATAAGTACATGTAAGTACATATACTGGAGAGAATTTAAATGGAGTTTTAAGCATTTCACAATACCTCTCAAAAACAAGTATATAAAAAAATTAACGCAAAGCAAAAAAATATTCAGACCTGACAAATGGTCTTGAAAGACTAGAAACATACACTGCAGTTTTAGATTTCATTATACTATCATTTAAGTGAGGGGTTATAAATGTGATGGAAAATAAAATAAACACAACATAGAGGAGGAAAAACAAAGATCATTATAGGGAATTTTCAGAGACAATAAAATGAGCCAGGTATAGAATATAAGTTCTTTAAATTTGGGTCTAGACTACTGGTAATTTATCCCCAAAGCAAACCACCTTTGGTCTGTTTCTACCTGGGCTCTTGAATTCTACTTTCCCATACATGACTGAATTTCCAAATAGCAACCACTGATCCATTACAAATGTAAATTACATCATTAAACTTGCATATTCCCCACTCCCCACAAAGGCTTCCCACTGTACTCGAAATCAAGCGCTAGCTTTAAGTGCACCAGTCCCAACTGGCAACAACCAAAACGTCCATCGACATGGCCAGTGGCTACCATATTAGATCACTACGTGGCTGACTCTCACATAGGTCTCAGCAATAATCTTCTGAGGCTTCTCCTCAGAGGCCTTCTAAACCCAATCTAAAGTAGCGCTCTCCCCCAGCACATTGTTCTTTATTTTTTTTTGGAGCACATATCACATTATCTCGAACTATTTTATTTGTTCTATTATTTGTATTCTATTATAATGCAAGCACCAGGAAAACTGGTGTCTTTTGTTCAATACTGTTATCACCAGTGGCTAAAACGGTGCCTGGCACAAAGTAGACATTCAATAATTATATAGTGAATACATAAACACGCAACTTTCTAAATCTTTAATTACATGTTGTATAGCAGTAAACCTTGGGTGGACAAAATACTATAATCTCAAAATGACTTACCACTGGCATGCAGAAAGTTAACTTACCAGGCTACTTCCTCCAAAAGGCTTTCATTGACAACCCCAGCCTGAGCTGTCTCTCATATAATTGTTTAGCATCCAGTACTTCCTCTCATGGTAACTCTTATTATATTGTAACTAAGTTACTTGGTTGTATCTCCCACTGAACTGTCTCTTGACTGAAATAAATATGTCAACTGTTTGAGTACTTTTTTCACACATAAGTCACTACTTCATTTTCCTAAACCAAAGCATGGAAGAGATGGGAAGTAATTAAGGCCCAGTAATCTAGAGGTCATACTATGCAAGGGATATGGTGTGTCTATTAGCAACAGGTTCCATTGGCTTATAAGGCACTGCCTGAAGCTTCCAGGGAAATATATAGGGGAAACAGTCCAGAGGATTCAGGATGGTCTGGTATGACTCTGGACTAGCTCTATCTGGACGGCCCAGTCCCTACACTGACCCCAGAATGACACCATAATGCAGCCCTCTCTGACATATTTGTAACTCTGCTTGCCACATAATCAGTATCCTCATCTCCTAGCGCATGGTAATAACATTATCTTTAATATAAAGATGTACCTATTTGCAGTCACTACCTCTATCACCACCACCAGCAGAGCCTGAGCTAAGGAAACCACGGTTCTCAATACCCAGCACACCCACTTCCAATTATCTGTTAAAACATGGTGGATTACTATGAAGTTCTAGGAGTGCAAAGATATGCTTCACCTGAGGACATTAAAAAAGCTTATCATAAAGTGGCACTTAAATGGCACCCTGATAAAAATCCAGAAAATAAAGAAGAAGCAGAGAGAAAATTCAAAGAAGTAGCTGAGGCATACGAGGTATTATCAAATGATGAAAAACGGGACATTTACGATAAATATGGCAAAGAAGGATTAAATGGAGGTGGAAGTCATTTTGATGATGAATGTCAGTATGGCTTCACATTCCATAAGCCAGATGATGTTTTTAAAGAAATTTTTCATGAAAGGGATCCATTTTCTTTTCACTTCTTTGAAGACTCGCTTGAGGACCTGTTAAATCATCCAAAAAGCTCCTATGGAAACAGAAGCAGAGACGCAGGATCCTTTTTCTCTACCTCCAGTGAATATCCAATTTTTGAGAAATTTTCTTCATATGATACAGGATATACATCACAGGGTTCACTGGGGCATGAAGGCCTTACTTCGTTCTCTTCCCTGGCTTTTGATGATAGTGGAATGGACAACTACATATCTATTACAACTTCAGACAAAATTGTTAATGGCAGAAATATTAATACAAAGAAAATTATTGAAAGTGATCAAGAAAGAGAAGCTGAAGATAATGGAAAGTTGACATTTTTTCTTGTAAATAGTGTGGCCGATGAAGAGGGCTTTGCAGAAGAATGCAGCTGGAGAAGACAGTCATTGAACAACTATTCACCAAAGTCTCACAGCTCCAAACATGTATCTCAACGTACTTTTGTGGACAATGATGAGGGAGGTATATCTTGGGTTACCAGCAACCGGGATCCCCCTACTTTCTCAGCAGGAGTCAAAGAGGGTGGTAAGAAGAAAAAAAAGAAGCGTAAAGAGGTGCGAAAGAAGTCTACCAAAAGGAATTGTTAAATTGACTCTTCAAACATAACATTTGAACACAATTGTGTGTGTTTTGGTTAATCACAAATTTTGTAGATAACACTTGTTTAATACTATACTAAGAGCTTTTCAACACTCTTAACAGGATTGTGGACATTTGGTTAGTAGTTGTTTGGATTGGGTATGTCAGAAAAGGATGAGTTTGTTGTGACAGTTGGTGCTATTAAGAATTTGCCTGGGTAATATAGTGAGATCTTGTCTCTACAAAAAATTTACAAATTAGCCAAGTGTGGTGGCACGCACCTTGTAGTCCCAGCTACTCGGGAAGCTGGTAGGACTGCTTGAGCCTGGGAGACATAGGTTGCAGTGTACTGAGATCACGCCACTGCACTCCAGCCTGGGCGACAAAGTGAGACCCTGTCTTAAAAAAAAAGGAATTTGGAAAACTGCAAAGAGTTTTTTACTTCAGAATTTTTCTTTAGTAGAGTGTATATCCTATTTTATTTCTTTTCTCTAATTAAAACCACTATACACATTTCTGAAACATGCATAACATTAGGAGACAAGAAGGTATTAAGACACACAGGTTCAGACTATATAATTATTCATGAAATGATTTTTTTCCAATGGAGGTACAGCATTTGATGCATAACTTAAAGGTACTACAAATTAAAAATTAAAGTATAAAATATTTTAAGTTAAAAATAAACTTAGTTGGGTGCAGTGGCTCACACCTGTAATCCCAGCATCTTGGGAGGCCCAGGAAGGAGGGTTGCTTGAGGTCAGAATTTCACGACAGTCTGGGTAACATAAAGAGACCTGTCCTCTATGAAAAAAATTTTTAAAAACTTTAGCTGGGTGTGGTAGTGCGTGCCTGTAGTCCTAGCTACTCAGGAGGCTGAGGTGGGAGGATTGCTTGAGCCCAGGAGTTTGAGATTGTAGGGAGCTATGATATTGCCATTGCACTCCAGCTGACAGAGTGTGACCCTGTCTCTAAAGAAAAACAATAAAAAATTAAAAAAATTTAAAAATGGGTAACATTGTAAATTTTATGTAGTATATTTTACCACTCTTTTTTTAAGGCCAGTCTTACCCTGAACTCAGAGCAGTCTGTATGGTAGGCCATCACTGAATCACTCCAGATAGGAAACTTTCTATTTTTGTTTAGAGTTTGTACACAAAATCTACAAATATGTTACATTGAAATACCACGTATAGCCATTTTAATTTAGTCATGTTGGGAGAAAAACAGATGGGTTACAAATACACCAGATATCGAGCAAATCGTTTGAGTTACGTCTAGCAGCACTAAAACTTATTCACCTTTGGCCAAATACAAATACAAAATTGGAAAAAAATGATAATATCTGCTATTTTTAAAAGACAGTTATAGTCAAGAGCTTGTGTTTTGTATCGCTATTTGATTTTTAGTGGGCAGATGGGAGAAGGAAAGGTTATTTATTCTACAGAAGAGACTGGGGACAATTCATATAAAAAGTTTATTTTCAGAAAATAAAATAATAAAAGCCCAGAGTATTTTAAATGCTTCTTATATAAGATGTGATATTTAGTAAAGTTTATCTGTTATCATTTATATGGTAGTAAAGTTGAAAAAAATTGCAATTTTCCAAAAACTAAAGCAAAAATCAGTGTCTCAGAAAATTTAAGAATGTAATGACATGCCCTGTAGTCCATTTCTTCACTCTTAACAGAAAACCAAAAATTTAGATTTAATCATCTTACTCAATAGCTTAAAATTCCTCAAAGTTTTCCCACCATCTAAATGAAAAAGCTAATTGTTTCTTAACATAATATACAAGGCCCTCCATGAGCCAGCCACCAGCTTTTTCCCAACTTGATTTCCTATCAGCTCCTTGCGCCCATCTTACGCTCTAGCTCAACTGTTTCCAAAATCTGTTCCAGGGATACCAGTTCAAGACTCATCACAGAAAAGGGGTCCATGGTCAAATACATTTTTACACATTTTGCAAATTACTGCTGAACACATCTCTTAGAAACCTAGACTATTAAGGGCTGGGTGCAGTGGCTCACGCTTAAAATCTCAACACTCTGAGAGGCTGAGGTGGGAGGATCACTTGATCCTAGGAGTTCAAGTTTACCCTGGTCAACATGGCGAGACCCCATCTCCAAAAAAAGATTTAAACTATTATGTACATTATGAAATGCAGCATTCCCCAAAAGTATTTGATCACAGAATCATTTTCGTGTAATGCCTACTATTTTGTCTAAGAACATATTTCAAAAAAGCTTTTCCTAAGCCGGGTGCAGTGGCTCACGCCTGTAATCCTAGCACTTTGGGAGGCCGAGGCTGGCGGATAATCCGAGGTCAGGAGTTTAAGACTAGTCTGGCCAACATGGTGAAACCCTGTCTCTACTAAAAATACATAAATTAGCCAGGCATGGTGGCGGGCACCTGTAATCCCAGCTACTCGGGAGGCTGAGGCAGGAGAATCGCTTGAACTCCGGAGGTAGAGGTTGCAGTGAGCCAAGAGATCGCGCCATTGCACTCGGGCCTGGGCTAGAGTCAGACTCTGTCTTTTTTTTTTTTTTTAAAAAAAAAAAAAAAGGCCGGGCGCTGTGGCTCAAGCCTGTAATCCCAGCACTTTGGGAGGCCGATACGGGCGGATCACGAGGTCAGGAGATCGAGACCATCCTGGCTAACACAGTGAAACCCCGTCTCTACTTAAAAAAAAAAAAACAAAAAAACACCAAAAAAACTAGCCGGGCGAGGTGGGGGGCACCTGTAGTGCCAGCTACTTGGGAGGCTGAGGCAGGAGAATGGCGTAAACCCGGGAGGCGGAACTTGCAGTGAGCTGAGATCCGGCCACTGCACTCCAGCCTGGGCGACAGAGCAAGACTCCATCTCAAAAAAAAAAAAAAAAAAATCCAGCCATACTACATGATTGCAATGCTTAGTGTTGGCCATTCCTTTTCAGAGTTCTGTGTCTTTACAAGCGTTCCTTCTGGTAGTACGGCTTTTAGTCATGTTGGTGACAGCCTTTCAAATAAAAGCAAATTCCAGGCCGGGCGCGGTGGCTCAGAGAGGAGGGTGGATCGCTTGAGGCCAGGAGTTCGAGATCCACTTGGCCAACATGGCAAAACCTGGTCTCTACTACAATTACGAAAATTAGCCAGGCGTGGTGGCACATGCCTATAATCCCAGTTACCTCCGGAGGCTGAGGTACGAGAATTGCTTGACCCCAGGAGGCAAGAGGATGCAAATGAGTAGAGATTGCCACTGCACTCCAGTCTGAGCGACAGAATGAGGGCCTGGTCTCAAAAAGGCGACAGGAGCATGAGGGAGCCACTGCATAGTACTCAAAAAAAAGACTGAACAATTGCACATCTTTCTTTTCACCTAATCCCACGGAAACTTACGTCTTTCTGTAGCTTTACTATGAGAACTGAAGAACAAGTTCTGTGCACTGGACAATAACTTTTTATTTTTTATAGTAAGAAGTCGATGTAATTAACATTCCATTTTAAATGAATTCAAGTATATCAACATAAACATATGCCAAGACATAGCTTTGATGTCAAATACCACACGTTGTTTATATATTGGCCCAAAAAACTGAAATACAATCCAATGGCAGATCCGCCTGCAAGGAAGGTGATTCAGTTTTCACTGATTAAGCTTTATGTTCATCAGATTAATTGCTCGCAATAGAGGACACCCTACAAAAAATTATTCTCCTTAATCCTTCGTCTTGTCTTTGCAAACAGGACTTTCAGACACAGAATGCCCCAGGAGTATTTCCAAACAGTTACCTTTCCTAAGAAGAGCTGCTTAAATAATTTGTGTTACTAAGACACGCTTCGTGTATATTCTGGAGCAAGCTCTCATGCCTAACAGAAACAAGAGCTACTTGATGTGAGACACTTTGTCACTTATATCACTTATTTGTGATAATTGCCACAACTTCGGAGTCCGAGTAACTTGGAAGACAGCCCCTCTGGGGAATGGCACACTTTTTTCTCTGCAGTCGTTTCGGCTTCACAGAATACCTGAACGGTAGAGAACACACTGGGACCACCCCCTTCCAGGAGCAGCCGGTATAGAAGAAATCCGCGGAGAGCACAGAGGGTTGGGCAGCGGAGGCCCCACCAGGAGAAAGGTCGGCCGAAACAGGGATCGCCTGAGACCAACTTGGGTCCCTCCAGGGGACACCATGGGAGGAGACCGTGGGAGGAGAGTCTAACCTGAGAAACTGCGGATGTTTGCTACAGCGGGAACCAGCTTGGGGGCTGAGAGCAGCCAAGGCATGACGGCCTAACTCACGCGTCGGGAAGAGAAAGAGGGTAACCGCCTGCAGCGCCGCGTCGCCAGGAAACCAGGCCAGCCCCCCCCCCCCCCGCTTCCGGCAGGCGTCGCTCCCGGGCCTTCCTTGCGCGGCGGCGCAGGGTGTGACGTCATGCCCCGAGGTGGGACCGCCTCTCCGGTTCCACACCCTTGTTTAGGTCGGGGTGTTGAGTTCTACTCGGTGCGCGCAGCCACACGATGTGTTCTTGGACGTTGCTCCCTGGAGGGGATGCTATCTACCGCCTCCTTGCAGGCGCCCATTTCTGGGGTTGGCCCATCCAGGGAGCTGGTTCCTAGTTAAGAATATGAGAATGCATGCGCAGGGAGGCAGGCAACAGCACGAACAGCCACGCTTCTAGAAGGTTCTAGGGAGCGCGCAGGAGCAGCGCAGAGAGAGTAGGAATGAGCAGGCGGAGGACCCGGGGTCACGAGACCGTTGGGTGGGAGGAGCCAGCGGCCGGGGAGGTTCTGGTCTGTTCTGCCTCGCGGCAGCCGCCCCCTTCTGCGCGGTCACGCCGAGCCAGCGCCTGGGCCTGGAACAGGGCCGTAGTCCCCCCAGCTTCGCCCACCACCTCTCTACCATGGACCCCCGCAAAGTGAACGAGCTTCGGGCCTTTGTGAAAATGTGTAAGCAGGACCCGAGCGTTCTGCACACCGAGGAAATGCGCTTCCTGAGAGAGTGGGTGGAGAGGTGAGACCCAGGCCTGAGGACCGTTGGGGGCGGGGAGAAGCACGGCCCCAGGGGGAGCCGGGCGGGAGCTGGCTCCGGCCGGCGGGCGAGGCGGGGTCGCAGCCCCTTCTTTGCCCGGGAAAGGGAGGCGACTTCGATGGGTCATGGAGGATCGCGAGCCCTGGGTAGTACAGGAGCTGCGGCGAGCCGGAGGCAGACCGGGTTCCTCGCACCCTGAGGTTGCCAGGGGTGTATCTTGGGCGAAATAAAAAAACGGATACGTCGACACTGGAGACGCGAGGAGTGAGAACTGCAAGACTTAGCTTTTGCGTGGGGTGGTTTTTTCTTTCAGTCTCGTGTGCCCTGCTCAGGTCTCATTGGTATATAGCGGTTCTTTTACGCACTATCCCTTTACATTGTGTTATTATAATATAACACTAGTAAGTTAAAAGTTACAAAATTATTTAGTAAGTTAGAATAAAAATGATAACTGTAAAAATGATTGTCTTTACCTTACAGCGTTTCTAGCTGCGTAGGATTATCTTGAGAATCACTTTTTATACCTCCGTTACTTGGCAGTGTTATCACTCCAAACACTTCTGAGAAAAATAATGTTTTAAGTCCTGGCGTGTTTCCAGGATGTATTCTTGTCTTTAACTGTAGAGTACTTCGCTACGTGCAAGGAGTTAATTGCCAAGGCATTGTGCCTGGTGCTAGGAAACAGTATAAGTACTATTTAGGGATACAGACGAATAAATACGAAAGTTCGTTTTGATATTTACTATATAATAGTAATTAGCACTTTACGTATTGAAGGAGCCCCGAAGAGAGAAAAAGTGAGAAGGAAGTCTTCCCTAAGATGACTTTTTAAAAAGTTACTACTAGTGGATAACTGCAAAGATGACATACAAATTGCACTAAACAGGGATAAATAGCAACTATGCAGACCATTGCGACTCCTAAGAGGTGCTATTGTGAACATTATCTATTTAGTGATTTTTCTCTTTTAGAGACAGGGTTTGGCTGTATCATCCAGGCCGCATACAGTGGCGGGATCACTGCAGCCTCTGATTCCTGCGCACAGACGATCCTCCTGCCTCAGCCTCCCAGGTGGCTAGCAGTGCAGGATTGAGCCACCATACTTGGCTAATTTAATTTTTTTTTTAGAGGTGGGGGTCACGTTAAGTTGCCCAGGCTTGTCTTGAATTCCTGGCCTCAAAGGACTCCCCTGCCTCCCAAAGTGGTGGTATTACAGGCGTCAGCCACTTCACCCAGCCTGATATTTTTATATGGGAAGATGAGCTCATGATTACCAAATAGCTCAAAGAATATTAACAGGCTGGTTCTAAGGAAAAAACTCGTTGCAATCTGTCAACGTTGTATATTTTTTTCCTCTTAAGTAGTTTTTCAATCTTTAACTCCCCACCAATTGTCTTAACTACTGAAAGACTTTTACTTATATGTGAAATTCTGAGACCATTTAATATTATTATGTTAATAGTAACTATGACTTGGTAAGAAGTCTATTTTGCAAACTCCTCAACCGGGAAATGTCAGGATTAGGAATTGAGGGCTAGATTTTAGTCGTATTCTCTATTGAACAGCTTGATGATCCAAAAGCCTTTAAGATATTTGTATGCTTTTATCCTAATTATAGGAAAGAACCTGCAGTTAATAAATTCTTTCTAAAATTCCAGGTAAAGTAAACAAGTATCACAGGAAGAAATAGCTAGCTCCAAGAGCTGACTGCACTTTAAGTGGATACAATGTTTTTGTTCCATTCTTACTAGTGAGGAAGAGGAGACACAGAAGGAAAAATTAACGCGTAAGAACAGTGTCCTCCTGACTTGTGTTGGAGTGATTGTGCCTATATAGAGAATTCCAGTTGAAGGTCTGCAAAATACTTATTTGTCAGGCACTACTATATCCTCCCCACCCCCCCAAAAAAAAACAACAAATCGTCATATACTTTATTTTAACATAGATAATTCCAGTTTTTCTTTCTGATTCCACTTACATTCTTGTGGCATCCTGAGTCGGCTTAAGTATGGGGTGAAGCATCATGGCATACGTTGGGACTTTATTCTGAACTTAAATTGAGATATTTAATATAGAAGCTTTTTCTCTTTATTTCTGTATTTAAACTAAGATTTTTATAAACTCTTGAGGCCTTTGAGTTTGTATCCGTTTCTCTCTCTGCTTTCATCAATCTGCAGTTCAAGATTATGGCTGATGGGGCTGAATACCGAGACTTCTAGGTCCAGACGTATTCCTAGGCCTGATCCTACTGTTAGGGTTACTCAAGTTGAAAGCATCTCAGTTTCTCACAGGCTTAGCTGTTGAAGAACAGTACATTTGTCTATTTGCTGTAATTGCTAGCATTGTTTATAGCTTAGTTTTATTTGATATAAGGATTTATTAGTTTAACCTTTTTTTTTTTTTTTTTTTTTTTGAGATGGAGTCTCGCTCTGTCGCCCAGGCTGGAGTGCAGTGGCCCCGGATCTCAGCTCACTGCAAGCTCCGCCTCCCCGGGTTCACGCCATTCTCCTGCCTCAGCCTCCCGAGTAGCTGGGACTACAGGCGCCCACCACCTCTCCTGGCTAGTTTTTTGTATTTTTTTAGTAGAGACGGGGTTTCACCGTGTTAGCCAGGATGATCTCGATCTCCTGACCTCGTGATCCGCCCGTCTCGGCCTCCCAAAGTCTGGGATTACAGGCTTGAGCCACCGCGCCCGGCCTAACAACCTTTTAAATTGCACAAAGAGAAGTACTAAAAGTCTGAAGTAGTTGTCATTGAGGATCCAGGAGACTGTTCTTTTCAAGAACTGTGTTTTGAGATGTTTTTGTTTTCCCCATTTTAGAGACAGAAGTATTCTCCCACTCTATTTTTTCCCGTTTAACAATTTAGTATCTTGTATGTGCTTTCATGGCTTTACTTGATGGTAATTAAGATCAAAGAGAGTGTCTTTGTATTCTACTCGGTAGCACAGTACATGGCACATGGCTTTTCTAAATACTGTAAAGGAAATGAACAGAATGCATTTCTACCCTCAATATAGGATTTAGAGTGTAGCAACCAATTTTTTTGTACATGTGTATAAATAACCATAGCACAAAGCAGATTAGAAGGTTATCAAATTAAGAGAATTGTGAATGAAGTTTTGTGTGATACTATGTGAGAAAGGTCTCTACACTGGTCCTACTTGATTGTGTAACATAAAAGCCTGTAGTGGCAAAGTCCAAGTGGCAGTTCTTGGCCAGAAAGTAGCTTGTTCTGAGGCTTGGAAGCATTAATTGAAATTTCGTACCTCCCAGATGGTGTTTTCTTCCATTAGTTAACTAGAATTTAGGATGTGAGAAACTAAATCTAGCTTATGAGTAAATCCTCTTTTTTTTTTTTTTAAGTTTTAATTTTTTTGCAACAATTTCTAGCTCAGAGAAAAATTGCAGGTATGGTACAAAGAAATTTTTTCTGAACTAGTTGAAAGTAAGCTGCCAACATTATGCCCCAACACCATTGAGTGTGTATTTCCTACAAACAAAGTCTTTACAATACAGATATTAAACTTAGGAAACGAATACTGATGCATGCATGCTATCTAATCCTCAGATTTATGTGTTGCATTTAGTTGCCATGTCACCTAGTCTCCATTCTGATACAGTTCCTCAGTCTTTCCTTGAGTTTAATGATCTTGACAGTTTGAATATTATAGTCAAGTTATTTTGTAGACTTTCTCTAAATTTGGGTTTGTCTGGCCTTCCTTGAGTATTGGATTTAGCTTAATACATTTCTTGGCAGGAATATCACTTCCCCAGGTTGGTGTACCGTAAGTTATACTGTGTCTGGATGTCACCCTGAATACATTCCTGACACTGCATTTTGAAACTTAGGAAGAACATAGTGTAAGAAACCCCTTGTGTCTTCGTTAAAATTTAACTACAAAGGACTGGTGATTACCGTGCTCTTTCGCAAAGTAGTATCTCCATAGAAAAGAATTTTGTGGTGTCTGTATGCCTGTTCCTTATTAAATCATTTTACTTTGCTGAACTGCAGATTAGGATGTTTTGGATCATATAATCTTTATTGTTGACATGGGAGCTATTCCATATTAAGGGTACTGAGTAACATTTTTTTCCTATCATATTAAGCATGATGGAAAAAGTAGGCACATTTTGTTTGAATGGTGCCTATAAGAAATTCCAAATTCTGTTTCTTTTTGTTACATTTGCTACTTTGCATTTATACTTTTGCTTCATATTGGGATCCTCAGATGATACTAAAAGAGTGAAAAGGCAAGCCACATGGTAGGAGAAAATATTTGCAACACATAAAGCTGACAAGGGGTTCATATGCAGAATATACAAACGACACCTTCAAATAAATAAAGACATTCTTTTAGAAAGCTGGATGAGAGTTGAACTTTACAAAAAAGTCTTTTCAAATGAGCAGTAAATACATGAAAAGGGACTCAACTGCAATGAGATACCAGTAGACACCTATCAGAATGGCTAAAAAAAAAGATGTACAATAGCTAAGTGTTGGCCAAGGGGTGGAACAGTTGGAATTCTCATGGGTTGCTGATATAAGTGTGAATTGATAAAAGAATTTCGGAAAACTGATACTCATTTAAATTCAACCTGCACATACCCTTATGACCACAAATTCCACCCAATTGAAATGAATGTAAATGTAGATATGACAACTCTAGTTAACAAAGAATCAGGCCGGGCCTGGTGGCTCACGCCTGTAATCCCAGGACTTTGGGTGGCCGAGGCGGGCAGATCATAAGGTCAGGAGATCGACACCATTCTGGCTAACATGGTTAAACCCCGTCTCTACTAAAACAAAATATTAGCCAGGTGTGGTGGCATGCGCCTGTAATCCCAGCTACTCGGGAGGCTGAGGCTGGAGAATCACTTGAAACCAAGAGGTAGAGGTTGCAGTGAGCCAAGATCATGCCACTGCACTCCAGCCTGGGTGACAGAGCGAGACTCCATCTCAAAAAAAAAAAAAAAGGAATCAACCCTTTCTGTTTTCAAAGTTAATATATCCCTTGTTTTACATAGTTAATGACTTTTTTCTTTGTTTTTTTTTTTTTTAAACATGTACACTTTATTGAATGCCATGGTAGAAAAGTGTGTGAGGATAAAGGGCTGATACAGGACTTGGCTCCAGGGGCAGGGCGAGGAATGGAAGGTGGAGCACGTGGGATACAGGTTATGGGCAGAGCTCCTGGCCTGAATGATGTCTCCTGATCTATCAGTAGGCTTGGAAGATCAATACTGGGATGACGATGAGCAGAATGGTCATGAGGATGCCCAAAATCAGGGCCCAGATGTTCAGGCACTTGGCGGTGGAGGCATAGGCCTGGGCCCCAGTGAGGTTGCCAACCATCTTCCTGTCCCTAGACTTCACGGAGTAGGCGAATGCTATGAAGCCCAGGCAGCAGGGGTTCATGAAGAGGGTGTTGAACAGGGACCAGACGACGTGGTCGGGCACGGAGGTCTCACTGCGGATGTGGATCATGGTGGATGTCAGGGGAGCAGGGTTGTGGGGCGCCCCCAGTACAGCCACCTCGTGCTCCTCCTTGAGCATCTCATAGTTGTGGGGCTGGCCGCTGTTGACAGGAGAGAAGAAGGTTTGGACTATGCTTCATGGTGTCCTGCGAAGGCCAGTGGTGGTCGGGTTAGTCTTTTTTCTTTGTTTTTAAGGCAAATTTTAATAATGTCTGTGTTGCTTCCAACTGTTGTGAAATCTATCAACCATTTTAGTAACTGGAATGTCGCAGGTAGCCTATATGCTATAGTGTCTGCACCAAATTGGAGCATGTAATGCTAATTCTTTGTGTTTTTTGTTTGTTTGTTTGTTTGTTTGTTGAGACGGAGTTTCACTCTTGTTGCCCAGGCTGAAATGTAATGGTGCGATCTTGGCTCACTGCAACCTCTGCCTCCCAGGTTCAAGCAATTCTCTTGCCTCAGCTTCCCCAGTAGCTGGGATTACAGGCATGCGCCACCACGCCTGGCTAATTTTGTAGAGACAGGGTTTCTCCATGCTGGTCAGGCTGGTCTCGAACTCCCTACCTCAGGTGATCTGCCCACCTCAGCCTCCCAAAGTGCTGAGCTGCTGTGCCTGGCCACTTTGTATCTTTTTTCTTCCTCTTCTAGTTACTTACTTCTAATGAATTGTGTTGCCCTGGACTATTTGGAAAAGAAGAGTTTGTAGGGCCAGGAGGAAGTATTAATGGATGAGGTCGGGAGGGGTGTATAAGAAGAAAATGTATAATGTAATGGGCATGCAAATATAAGCAAGAAAAGTCCTCGTAGGTCTCAGTCACAGGAAATAAACATTTTGAATTATTATATCATGACTGCATAATTATTTCATAAACTGCATATTTAAATTTAATTGAACTACTCTTATTTCAAGTTTCAAATTTTGGATTCAAATATACCTACTGAGTTGAATTCTAAGTTACCAGCTTGTACAAATTATTTTGTCATTCCATGTTGACATATCTGCCTCTTCCTCTGGGAAGAGGCACAGAGAAGCTATAAATTATGTTTATTAGACTTACTGAGGCAAAGGGGTGGATTAGCCAGTAGCCTAAAAATAAATAAAATTTTAAGCTGGAAAAAATTTGGCCATAATAATACCACAGATTCAGATCAATTGAGTGTTTACTTTTAAATTTTGAAAAGGTAGTCATCTAAATGTCTAACTTTATTTTTTAGGTATAAATGGGTTGCGTGATAGTGAACTTTAATTTTCTAAACAAATTTCTTTTTTCTCCTCTTCTTCAAGCATGGGGGGTAAAGTACCACCTGCTACTCAGAAAGCTAAATCAGAAGAAAATACCAAGGTAAGTTTTAATTTCATTTGTATGTTTTGTGATAAAGTACTATAAGGTTTCTTAGGGGTTGTTTTTAAGCTGCTGCTCTCCAATTATCACTCCTGATTTCCCCAAGATCACTTGGAAATAAGATCTTTTACGACCTCTTTATCTTTATAAACTTTGTAGACCGAATTCGCTGGATTCTGATTTAGAACTGAGAATTTAGGGTTGGATGTTCACTGTTTTAGAATGCATGACAATAAGTTACATGTATGGCCTGTAAGTGGTAAGTTGCGTGATGGTATGCATCCGTAGTCTTCATCATTGCCTTACAGTGTGTCATATACATTGTAAGTACTTTATTATTTGCAGAGTAAATGAAGAAGTATCCCAGTTCAGGAACTTATTTTTTTTGCTCTACTACCTGAGTAATATTTCTGAATGTGAGTCATGGTGTTAGGTTGGCATATTTGCTTAAAGGATGTGTAAGATTAGGAGAAGGCTACCGGTAGCTGAAGTTGAGAGACAGATGAAGGGGAAAATACATGTTTAAGAACGTTTTCTTTTGTTTTGTTTGTTTGTTTTTTCTTTTTTGAGACAAAGTCTCACTGTGTCCCAGGTCCAAGTGCAGTGGTACACTCTCGGCTCACTGCAACATCAGCCTACTTGGGTTCAAGCGATTCTCCTGTCTCAGCCTCCCGAGTATCTGGGATTATAGGTGCATGCCACGATGGCCGGCTAATTTTTCTATTTTTAGTAGAAATGGGGGTTTTGCCGTGTTGGCCAGACTGGTCTGGAACTCCTGACCTCAAGTAATCCATCTGCCTCAGCCTCCCAAAGTGCTGGGACTAAGGTGTGAGTCACCGCACCTGGCCAAGAATGCTTTCTTCATAATTTTGTATTTCTCTCTTCTGCCTTCATATCTAAAAGGCTTTTTTTTTTTTTTTTTTTTGCAAATTTTCTGATTAGCTGTCTTAAATTGATAAGAAAATTAGCTGTTTTATTATTTAGAAACTTAAACATTGATATCTATTTGGATCTTAAAGTAGAAGTTATGTCTATTAAGAAGGAGAATGAGAAAAGGTAAGCAAAAGCCCAAAAAGTAGTTACCTTTTTTTAAAAGAGTCATTTATCAGAGTGGTATTTTCTGAGCCGTAGGTATTTTGCCATTTGGCAAATGCATATGAAGGCAAAATTATATTTAACCTATGTGTCAGCTGAAAATTTTTTGTAAGAAAAACATTCTAAATTAGAATTATGACTGGTCTTTTCAATATATTCTAGAACACCTAGACTTTGCACATTTTATAGGGACTCAACAAATATTTTGTAACAAGGTAGGTCTTTGGTTCTAATTTTTTTTTTTTAATTTTTAATTTTTTTGGTTGAGACGGAGTCTCGCTCTTATCGCCCAGGCTGGAGTGCAGTGGCGCAATCTTGGCTCATTGCAAGCTCCGCCTCCCGGGTTCATGCCATTCTCCTGCCTCAGCCTCCTGAGTAGCTGGGACTACAGGTGCCCACCACCACACCCAGCTAATTTTTTTGTGTTTTTAGTAGAGACGGAGTTTCACCATGTTAGCCAGGAGGGTCTCCATCTCCTGACCTTGTGATCTGCCTACCGCAGCCTCCCAAAGTGCTGGGATTACAGGCATGAGCCACCACGCCCGGCCTTGGTTCTAATTTTTTAAGTAACAGGGAAGCAACCTAAAAAACTGGTTAATGATATATGGTTGAGTGAATAGATAAAGATAGGCTGATAATGGTATATAATTCATAAGATACACAGCATTGTTAAATGCAAAAGGCAAAGGATAGAGTTGTTTCTTATACAGAGAGACTATCCTAGAATGGGATATACAAGAAACCACACTGACTACTTATAGGATGGGAAGAAAATGTTGCTTTCTATAATGTCATGTGCACTTTTAAATTCTTTGAATTTTCATTGTTTATTATTATAGTTCCTCAGGTTCTTATTTGCAGTTCCAAAACTCAAAAACCCTTGTAAAGATTTTTACTAAATTTGACAATAAAACATAATGTGAGTGGACATGAGGCTATTTATAATCTCTAAACTGTTCATTGTCAATGTTCAAACTTTATTTTGAACAGTTTTTTTGTTTTTGAGACAAAGTCTTGCTCTGTCCCCAGGCTGGAGTGCAGTGGCATGATCTTGGCTCACTGCATCCTCTGCCTCCCAGGTTCAAGTGATTGTCCTGCCTCAGCCTCCCAAGTGGCTGGGATTACAGGCGTGCACCACCACGTCTAGCTGATTTGTATTTTTAGTAGAAACGGTTTGACCATGTTGGCCAGGCTGGTCTTGAACTCCTAACCTCAAATGATCCACCCAACCCAGCCTCCCAAAGTGCTGGAATTCCAGGCATGAACCACCATGCCTGGCCATATTTGAACAGCTTATACATAGATTTGTAGAAATTAGTATAAATATTGGGTATGTTATTAAATACTGATACTGTTTGCCTTCCCTTTGCTAGGAAGAAAAACCTGATAGTAAGAAGGTGGAGGAAGATTTAAAGGCAGACGAACCATCAAGTGAGGAAAGTGATCTAGGTGAGGAGATGGTAGTTGGTTTGTATTTGAAAACTTATGATGTGATCCTTTGTTGATTTTTATTAAGGTGACTTAAATCAGCACTGTGTAATAGAAATATAATGGCACATATGAAACTTAGAATGTTCTAATAGTCACATTTTAGAAAGTAAAAGGAAACATGAAATAAATTCAGATATTAATGTCATATTGGTTGAAATATTGACATGTGTAATGAATATTTTTTTTGGCAAGGGGGGTGTTTCTTTTTTTTTTTGAGACGAAGTCTTGCTCTTGTCACCCAGGCTGGTGTGCAATGGCACAATCTCGGCTCACTGCAACCTCCGCCTCCCGGGTTTAAGCAGTTCTGCTTCAGCCTCCCGAGTAACTGGGATTACAGGCACGTGCTACCATGCCCGGCTAATGTTTGTAATTTTAGTAAAGACAGGCTTTCACCATGTGTGCCAGGGTGGCCTTGAACTCCTCGTGATCCACCCACCTCGGCCTCCCACAGTGCTGGGATTGCAGGTGTGAGCCACTGTGCCTGGCCTCAATATATTGTTAATAAATTATTTTCCTTTTTTTAATAACATTCAAACTCCAAAGGGTATTGTACACAAGTGGTATCCCTCAATTCAGATTTTACATTTTCACTGATAATAAATCAGACTTCGTAATGTTTGTATTAGAAAAAGTTGGGTTACATATTAAAGTTGTTCTAAGCATACTTTAAAAGTTATCTTTTTTTTTTTTTTTTTTTTTTTTTTTTTTTCTGTTTTTGAGATGGAGTCTCACTGCGTCGCCGAGGCTGGAGTGCAGTGGCATGATCTCGGGTCACTGCAGCCTCCACCTCCCAGGTTCAATCAATTCTCATGCCTCAGCCGCCCTAATAGCTGGGACTACAGGCGTTTGCCACCAGGCACGGCTGATTTTTTTTTTTTTTTTTTTGTAGAGACGGTTTTGCCATGTCGGTCAGGCTGGTCTTGAATTCCTGATCTCAGGTGATCCACCTGCCTTGGCTTCCCAAAGTGTTGGGATTACAGATGTGAGCCACCACGCCCAGCCAAAAGTTTTCCCGTAACTGAATTGAGTACCAAAAAATAGTATTCGTTTAGTACTTACAACCATGTTGATAAAACTGGTTCATATTTAGAGGAATTGTTATCTGTGCTATGAGTTTGGTTGGTTTTTTGCCACAAGTTGACAAAATTTCTTCATGAGTTTGAAAGTCCTTTGGGGTATAAGTATTCCCCAGTTTATCAATTGAGAAATCTCTTATATCACAGAACCTAAAGAAAAGTACTTGAAATGTTTCAAACTTTGAATCTTTTTTTTTTTTTTTTTTTGGAGACTTGAGTCTTGGTCTGCCACCCAGGCTGGAGTGTGGTGGCATAATTTCGGCTCACTGCAACCCCTCCTTCCTGGGTTCAAGCGATTCTCCTGCCTCAGCCTTCCGAGTAGCTGGGACTATAGGTGTGTGCCACCATGTCTGGCTAATTTTTTTGTGTTTTCAGGAGAGACAGGGTTTCACCATGTTGGGCAGGCTGGTCTCAAACTCCTGACGTCAGATGATCTGCCCACCTTGGCCTCCCAGAGTTCTGGGATTACAGGCGTGAGCCACCACACCTGGCCTGAATCAAATGATCTTTGATATCATTAGAGGTCTTATATTGTATTGGCAGTTGTTCGAATGCTAAATTGAAGATGTTTTACTTTTTATAAAATGCCTTTTTAGTCTTACTTTCTAGCAGTTTCTAAAACTACAATAAAGTTTTTAACCAAATCTCCACCCAAAAGTGTTTTCCTTTTTGTGTACAAATCAAACTTTGACCGTTAGACAAGCTTAGTTCCTGTTAAAAATTGATTAAATTTTTTTTACCCTGTTAAAGTGCATAAACTTTCAGCTATAATCTGAATGAATTCCAGAGATCCAGTATACAGCATGACTATAATACTGTATACTTGAAATTTGTTAGGAGACTAGATCTTCAGTGTTCTAACCAAAAATAAATAAATATGTGAGATGCATAGGTTATTAATATGATGGGGTGAGAATCATTTCATTATGTGGGGTGCAGTAAAGTGAAACACAATAAAATGAGGTATGCCTGAGGCCAGGCGGTAGCTCACACCTGTAATCCCAGCACTTTGGGAGGCTGAGGCGGGTGGACCACCTGAGGTCGGGAGTTCGAGACCAGCCTGACCAACATGGAGAAACCCCGTCTCTACTAAAAATAAAAAAATTAGCCAGGCCTGGTGGCACACATCTGTAACTAAATATATTTTTAAATCTAGCCTTGGTACTTGATGCTGCATTAGCAGTAAGCCTTTATTTTAAAATTAAAATTTGTCCATGCTACTTTTTTTTTTTTTGAGACGGAGTCTCGCTCTGTTGCCCAGGCTGGAGTGCAGTGGCCGGATCTCAGCTCACTGCAAGCTCCGCCTCCCGGGTTTACGCCATTCTCCTGCCTCAGCCTCCTGAGTAGCTGGGACTACAGGCGCCCGCCACCTTGCCCGGCTAGTTTTTTTTGTATTTTTTTTTTAGTAGAGACGGGGTTTCACCGGGTTAGCCAGGATGGTCTCGATCGCCTGACCTTGTGATCTGCCCATCTCGGCCTCCCAAAGTGCTGGGATTCCAGGCTTGAGCCACCGCGCCTGGCCTGCTACTTTTAAAAATGAAAGTAATTAGGGACCAGCTACAGTGGCTCGTGCCTGGAATCCTAGTGCTTTGGGAGGCTGAGGTGGGAGCATTTCTTGGACAACATAGTAAGATCCTGTGCCCCCCAAAATATTTTAATTTTAAAAAGGAAAGTAATGAAGATAATTATATTAAAATATTTTGATTTACATTAAAGTATCACTGTAGCTTGTGTTACCTACATAAAGTGTTTTTGAAAAACGTATAGTACATCAGTGTGTAGAAGAAAATTATTTGAACTAAATCAGTTTGTTGATAATGACTAAATCGATGGTGTATTTATATACAAAGACTAAATCAGTGGTGTATTTATGTGTAATACTAGAAACTGCACGTGCCAACAACCCCACTACGACCTGATGATAAATATCTTACATGATGTGAGAGTTAACGTACTTGTAGTCTTACCAAAGCAATGAAATGTTTAATGGGAACATATTTTAAAATGCATCAATATTTAAATCAAAATTAATTAAAACGAAATATTCAATTAATTGTACTAGACATAGTACATCAGTTTTTAATAATCTTGGGAGTGGCTACTATATTGCACAGTGCAGGTATTATTGTCATTTTCTCAACTTTGGCAGAAATTGATAAAGAAGGTGTGATTGAACCAGACACTGATTCTCCTCAAGAAATGGGAGATGAAAATGCAGAGGTAAGTTCGGTGACTTGATTTCCTGCTTTCCTGCTTATTCTAAGAAACGTGAAAGGTCCTCTTGTTGCAATTATTTTACGACACGATTCTTCCAGGAAAAGTGCGTAGTAAATCTTTCTCTGACTTCAGGCATTTAGGCAAGCATTGTATTTTACTACTTAAAATACTTGTGAAAATAAATACTGTTACTTTCTGTTTTATCTGTTTTTTAAGTTTGCGTCTGGTGTGACTGCTTGTTTGCACTGTAACGCAGAATTCACTTAAAATACATGTCTACTAGAATTCACTTAAAATACACATTTACTAGTGGAGTTGCTCTTAATGGAATATCTAATGCCAAATTGTATTCCAAAATGGTTTTGTCATAACGGGCCCTCAAGGGAGTAAAAATTGGTTCTTGGGAGGAGGGCTTGAAAAAAATTCTACGTATTATAATGGTTAGTGGTCCTCCAAAGACTCATAGAATATTAATATGTAGTGTATCTGTGGTATTAGAATTGGCGATGTGGAAATGAGGAAAAGATGTCTAAAAAGGCTCCTTGGTGTCTGATAAAACAGTTGAGAAACTCTAATATAGTAATAGCAGTTTTAAAAGATTGGTTTTTATCCTCAAAGCTTGATATTATCGAATTTCATCTTTGCCAGTATTGTGGGAAATGGTATCTTTTTTTGGCTTTTAGTTTGCATTTTCCTGGCCAGACACGGTGGCTCACACCTGTAATCCCAGCACTTTGAGAGACTGAGCTGGGTGGGTATCTGAGGTTAGGAGTTTGAGACCAGCCTGGCCAACATGGTGAAGCCCCGTCTCTACTAATAATACAAAAATTAGCCGGGTGTGGTGGTGCACGCCTGTAATCCCAGCTACTCGGGAGGCTGAGGCAGGAGAATCACTTGAACCCAGGAGGCAAAGATTGCAGTGAGCTGAGATCGCACCCCTCCACTCCAGCCTGGGTGACAGAGCAAAACTCTGTATTTAAAAAAAAAAAGAAAAAAATTGCATTTTCCTGATTCGTACTGAGGCCAAGCATATTTAAATGTTTATTGGCCATTCACCGGCATTTGCGAAGTCCTGTTTAAACTCTTTTTCTTCTTTTTGCTGAATCTCTTTCTTACTACTTTGTATTTCGTTTCAATATTCTGGATGCTAATAATTTGTTGCTGGTGCTGCATATATTTTCTACTAGTTTGTGACTCATCTTTGCTCATCTTCATGTTGTTTCAAAAATAGCATCTTTTAATGCAGATATTTTCTGCTTTATTACTTTATGGTTATAATCACTGTAGTGCATTGTTTTTTCTTTTCTGAACACTTTATACACTTACCTTTCACCTTTAGTCTGCCGGTCCCGCCAGTACTGAAATACACCGTTTCCGAATATTGTGGGTCTGTCTGAGGACTCTGTTGTTCTGCTTGTCTGTTTTTTTTCTGTTCACTAATGCCACATCGTTTGATACTGTCTTGTTATTTTGTAGAACAAGGACCCCCAAAACTTTTTAGTCTTTCAGCTGTTCTTTTTGTTTTTCCAAGTAAATTTTAGAAATAGGTTGGTCAAGTCTCCCCCGTCCCATTGTTTTTTTTCTCCTTTGTTAGAATTGTCTTAAATCTAAATCAAGTTCAGGAAAAGATATATCTCCTCACCATTGAGATAAAGTATCCATAAATAATGTTATCTGCCTAATTTTTAGGTGTTTTTAAAATGTTTTAATAACTTACTAACATGTTCCCTGTAAGTCTTGTGCTTTTTTTTTTTTTTTTTTTTTGAGACAGGGTCTCACTCTTCCATCCAGGCTGGAGTGTAGTGGTACAATCATAGCTCACTGCACCCTTGACCCCCTGGGCTCAAGTGATCCTCCTGCCTCAGCCTCCTGACCAGCTGGGACTATAGTCATGTACCACCATGCCCAGCTAGTTTTTTATTTTTATTTTTAAAATTTTTAGTAGAGACAAAGTCTCAAAACTCCTGGCCTTCCAAAGTGCTGGGATTACAGGTATGAGTCGCTGCACCAGACCTAAGTCTTGTGCATTTTTGTTAAGAACAAATGTAAGTACTTTCTGTCACCATTTGTCAAAGGAAACTTTAAAGGTTAAATATTACGTTTATTGATGGTATTGCTTCTTTCATAATGTATCTAGGTTTATAATTTTTTATTTATCCTGCTTGGGATTCATTGAGCATCAAATTCTAGGGTTAACTTTCTTTAGCTCTAGAATATCTTCAGCTGTTATTTCATTCAAATATTGCCTCCTTCCTGTTTACTTTATGCTCTTAATTCTGAATCCCTGGTTATGTTAGACTTTTTCATTAATAAGTTTCATTTCTTTATCACTGTCTGCTGAAAAGCAGTCTGTACTTTCTCTGTTCCATTGATGTTTGAATTGGAGTGCTTGTGTTCTTCATTTTGGTACTTCAAATCTTTTCGAAGTCTACTTGGTTATTTAGAAGTCTTTTGCTCATTACTCATTTTCAGAATTTTATTAAACACATTAAATTCCTTGTTGAACTCTTTGCTGGTCTTACTCTGTTATTCATGGCTCTTGTTCATTAAGGTACCTTGTTTATTTTATGATGTGTGTTGTGTGTGATATTTTGAAAATGTGTTCTTTGGAACTTAACCTGTAGAAAATTTTTGAGGCCTAGTTAAGAAGGTGATGGCTTCCATCAAGTCACTGAATTGGTGCTACCAACTCAAGGCCCCCTTGAAATTCTCAGCATGGTGTTTTTTTGTTTGTTCCAGTTACTTTGGTAGTTGGATGAATTCCAGATGAAAGGCTGGCCGGTGGCTCTGAATTTTTAGGGGAAGTTCTTTTAATCTCACTACTCAACTGTCCGTTTCTGTAGGACAGGTTTATACCATTATGCTTGCCAGTGTTGGCATTTGGAGTTTCAGATTTATTTTGGAAAGTGTCTGGTTAGACCACATACATTCTTTTCCTCTGAATATAGACTTTGTATCCTATGGTCCTGCATTACCTTCAAAATAAAATTGCAGCCAGGAGTGGCGGCTCATGCTTCTAATTCCAGCACTTTCGGAGGCTGAGGCAGGCAAATGACTTGAGTCCAAGAGTTCCAGACCAGCCTGTGCAACATGACGAAAACCTGTCTCTATAAAAAAATGCAAAACATTTAGCTGGGTGCGAGCCTGTAGTTCCAGCTACATGTGAGGGGAGGCTGAGCCCAGGAGATGGAGGTTGCAGTGAGCCGTGATTGCACCACTGCACTGGAGCTTGGGTGACAGAGGTAGACCCTGTCTTTAAATAAAGAAAAAATAATTGTTATATTTAATTTTTTTTTTTTTTTTTTTTTTTTTTTTTTTTTTTTGAGACGGAGTCTCGCTCTGTCACCCAGGCTGGAGTGCAGTGGCCGGATCTCAGCTCACTGCAAGCTCCGCCTCCCGGGTTCACGCCATTCTCCTGCCTCAGCCTCCCGAGTAGCTGGGACTACAGGCGCCTGCCACCTCGCCCGGCTAAGTTTTTGTATTTTTAGTAGAGACGGGGTTTCACCGTGTTAGCCAGGATGGTCTCGATCTCCTGACCTCGTGATCCGCCTGTCTCGGCCTCCCAAAGTGCTGGGATTACAGGCTTGAGCCACCGCGCCCGGCTATATTTAATATTTATTTTTTGTTTATTTTTTGTAGAGACGAGGTTTTGCCATGTTGCCCAGGTTGGTCTTGAATTCCTGGGCTCAAGGGATCCACCTGCCTCGGCCTCCCAAAGTGCTGAGATTACAGGCATGAGTTGTGTATTTTTTTCCTGTGGTTAAAGATCTCCTGAGCTTTCCATTTTAGGAGGATGTTTGCTGTAAGTCTTTGTTGTTGTTTTTTTTTTTGCAGGGGTAGGGTGAGACATGGTCTTGCTCTGTGTCACCCAGGCTGGAGTGCAGTGACACAATCACGACTCACTACAGCCTTGACTTCCTGAGCTCAAGTGATCCTCCTAAGTCAGCCTCCTGAGTAGCTGGGACCAGATGCATGTGCCACCATGCCCAGCTTGGTTTTCTTTCTTTTTTTTTTTTTGGAGAGATGGGATCTCCCTCTGTTGCCTAGAAGCACATGTTGTTGTTCTTAACTAATCTTTATACTGTCAGCATCTTGTACAGTGTTTGGTCTATCTATATAGTATAGGTGCTCAGTAGTTGTTTGTGGGAACAAAGGAATGAGACCTTTCTCTTCTGAGAATTCAAACCTAAAAGGAGTTAGTTATCTCTGTGAGGAGATTGGGTTTAATGTTTATGGATAGCTGGGAAGGAGGTGGTATGCTTTGGTTGGGCGGGAAGGTTAAGCAAAGGTTGTATCTCGGGCACAGTGTAGGAGTAAAATTTGTTTTGTATAAAAGGTTAAAACTCATATGTAGTTTCTCACTAATGAGTTATCATAATTGTCTCTCTGTTCTCTGGAGACTAGAGAAGAATGAATGAAAATGGGTATTGTGACTGCACTTCATCCCTAAGAAAGTACGAATTGCTTCCTTCTCTCTCTCTCTACCAATTCTAAGAGGACTTTTATTTTCTTCCTAGATAACAGAGGAGATGATGGATCAGGCAAATGATAAAAAAGTGGCTGCTATTGAAGCTCTTAATGATGGTGAGTAATCTTTTTGCTACATTTCTATGGTAGTCAGAATATTTATTGCAGTAACTTAAATCGTGGTAAAGTAGAAGAGAAGTTACATGTACCTGTCCTGTACTAGAGAAGATAGTGTCCTATTATCCAGTCACTCTTTCCTCATTGATAAAGAGGCTGAAATCACTCAGTATGTATTACCTTCTCTCTGCAAGGACAGATTCTGATTTGATTCAGTGCCTCTGATTTCCTGACCCTATCATGGTGTTTTTCTACTGAGAAGAGGCTTTAAAGGGGTGAAAGGCTTTAAAGAAAAAAAAAATAGTAGTATTAGAACAGTGACCCTTAACTTTTTACATGCTAATACCCTTGACAGATGATGATGTTCATAGGCATAACAATCATTCCTAGTCAGAGCATGTTAGATTCTCTTCAGAAAATCCCCTCAGAGTGAGAAAGTGCTGATAGTATTCGGTTTTGTTTTTTTGTTTTTGTTTTGTTTTGTCTTTGAGACGGATTCTCGCTCTGTCACCCAGGCTGGAATGCAGTGGCGTGATCTCAGCTCACTGCAACCTCTGCCTCCCGGGTTCAAGCAATCCTTCTGCCTCAGCCTCCCAAGTAGCTGGGATTACAAGCGTGTGCCACCATGCCCAACTAATTTTTTGTATTTTTATTAGAGATGGGGTTTCACCATGCTGGCCAGTCTGGTCTCGAACTTCTGACCTGGTGATCTGCCTGCTTTAGCCTCCCAAAGTGCTGGGATAACAGGCATGAGGCACTGTGCCTGGCCTCTTTTTTTTTTTTTTTTTTTTTGAGACAGAGTCTTGCTCTGTCACCCAGGCTGGAGTGCAGTGAGGCCATCTCGGCTGGGACTACAGGTGTCTGCCACCACGCCTGGCTAATTTTTTTTTTGTCTTTTTTAGTAGAGACGGAGTTAGCCAGGATGGTCTGGATCTCCTGACCTCATGATCCACCTGTCTTGGCCTCCCAAAGGGCTGAGATTACAGGCGTGAGCCACCGCGCCCGACCCTGGCCTCTTTTTTTTATATGTTTATTTTTTTAACTCTCCAAGGTAACAATAGGTTATTTTTTTCTTTTTTCTTTTTTTTTTTTAGTTGTATTTTATTTTATTTTTATTTTTGAGACATAGTAGTGCTTTGTCACCCAGGCTGGAATGCAGTAGTGCGATCTCGGGTCTCTGCAACCTCCCCCCCCGAGTCAAGCAATTCTCCTGCCTCAGCCTCCCTAGTAGCTGGGATTACAGGCGTGTGCTACCAGCTCCAGCTAATTTTTGTATTTTTAGTAGAGACGGAATTTCACCATGTTGGCCAGGCTGGTCTCGAATTCCTGACCTCGAGTGATCGGCCCGCCTCAGCCTCCCAAAGTGCTGGGATTACAGGCGCGAACCACTGTGCCCGGCCCATGGTAGTATTAAATATAATGTATAATCGGTTATAATTTGTAAGAACAAATCATGTATAAACTTGGGTACTGTGGCTGCTTGAGTAATATTTCATTCTTAATAACTGTGATAGGGTGTCACAATGCCATAGTCGACTAGATACTATTATATAGTGTTCATGTGCATTTGGACTTCATTATTAGATTTAGAAGATGACTGAAGTTATTTTTAGAATGAGTTCAGTATTAATGTTCTGAGTTGGTACATATTTTAAACATTTTGTGATTTTACCACCTGATTAGCTCCTTAGAACATGTTTATACTATTTTATACTGCAGTTGCCTTAATAATTTACTTTCCTGAAAAATATTATTCCTTTATTGCTTTCTGTTTACTTTAACCTAGGTTATTCTTACTTAGAGCTGTTTTTTATTATACTACTCTTGCTTGTAACCTGTGACTAAGTTTTGCATACGTATTTAAGATCTTCATCAGAGGATTATAGACCTGCCAGACTCAGACCCCTTATTTTACTTCTCCAGCCTTGTTTTCTCCAGTCAGACTTTACTGTTCTAGAATGTTTTTTACTTGTGCTATACTGTTTTTCTGGAAAGCTTTTCTTCACATATTTCAACCTTTAATTTATACCTATCAGTTGTTCCCAGCCATTGCTCTTCTATACCATTCCTTTTCTTCACACGAAAGTTTTGCTGATTTCCCTAGCACCTAAGTTTTAAGAGACAGAGTCTCACTCTGCCACTCAGGCTGGAGTGCAGTGGCATGGTCATGGCTCACTGCAGCCTCAAGTTTCCTAGGCTCAAGCAATCCTCCTGAGTAGCTGGGAATACAGGTGCATGCCACCATGCCTGGCTAATTATTATCTTTTTTTTTGGTAGAGGTAGGGTTTCACCCTGTTGTCCAGGCTCGTCTTGAACTCCTGGCCTCAAGCAGGCCTCCCAGCTCAGCCTCCAAAAGTGCTAGGATTACAGATGTGAGGCACTGTGCCCAGCCCATTTTAAAATTTACCGTCTCGGTAATATATAACAAAAGGAAAATGAGGCTATCACCTAATCATGTTTTTGTTTTCTCGTTTTTTTCTGAACTCTCTGTTCATGTGCCTTTGTAAATTTAATCTAGTTCTGATTTTAGAATTTATGCAATTTTCTAGTATATTCTAAAGGATAAAAGATTAGTATTCTCAAGCAGGGATTGTGAATCCAAGCCCCACCAAGGGTTGGTGAAGGCAGTTTTGTTGGGAGAATGTAGTTAAAACCTGGAGTATGGAGCCAGAGTGCTATGGTTTGAATCCCAGGTCTGGCACTTAACTGTGGCTGCTTTCCCACTACAACAGCGTCACTGAGTAGTTATGACAGATTGTATGGTCTGCAGAGATTAAAATAATTCTCATTTGGCCCTTTGCAGAAAACGTTTACCAACTCCTGAACTAAATGTATGGAGGAGCCATTTATTTAGTTGGGAAGATTCAGATTGGGAATAGATTTGGAAATGGGGTGGGAAATAGGAATTCAGTTTTTCAGTTTTGGCTGAGCGTGATGGTTCACACTTATAATCCCAACACTTTGAGGGGCCAGAGTGAAAGGATCTCTTGAGTCCAGGAGTCTAAGATCAGCCTGTTCAACACAGTGAGACTCCATCTCTTAAAAAAACACAAAGAATTAGTTGGATGTGGTAGCATGTTTCTGTAATCTAAGCTACTTGACAGGCTGAGATGGAGGTTCCCTTGAGGCTGGGAGGATCCTTTGAGCCCAGGAAGTTGAGGGTGCAGTGAGCTGTGATTGTGCCACTGCACTCCAACCTGGGTGACAGAGCAAGCCTTTTTTTTTTTTTTGATACGGAGTTTCGTTCTTGTTGCCCAGACTGGATGGAGTGCAATGGCGCAACCTTGGCTCACCTCAACCTCCGCCTCTCGGGTTCAAGCAGTTCTCCTGCCTCAGCCTCCCAAGTAGCTGGGATTACAGGCATGCGCCACCATGCATGGCTAATTTTGTATTTTTAATAGAGATGGGGTTTCTCCTTGTTGGTCAGACTGGTCTCGGGATTTCTCCATGTTGGTCAGACTGGTCTTGAACCCCCCGACCTCATGTGATCCACCTGCCTCGGCCTCCCAAAGTGCTGAGGTTACAGGCGTCAGCCACTGCGCCTGGCCAAGACCCTGTCATAAAAAAATTTAGGTTTTGAACATGGTAGGTCTGAGTTGCTTATTAGACATCCATGTGTAATTACCTATAATAGATACCTGTAATAGTAATTAATAAGACTGAGCATTTTTCTGTGTTGTTTTCGTGAGTTCCTTTCAAGTCCTTTACTCATTTGCTAACTGGCTAAGTATCTTTCATAGTGAATTGTGACATTTATTTTAAAATTTCTGTGTTCGGCCTGGCACAGTGGTACTCCCAGCTACTCAGAAGGCTGAGCTGGCAGAGGGGATCACTGGAGTCCAGGAGTTCGAGAGCAGCCTAGGTGACACAGTGAGGCCCAGTCTCTAAAAAAATTTTTTAATTAGCCAGGTTTACTGGTGTGGGCCTGTATTCGCAGCTACTCAGGAGCTGAGGTGGGATGATCACTTCAGTCTATAAGCTGTGATCTTGCCACTGTACTCTAGCCTGTGTGACAGACCCTGTCTCTTTAAAAAAAAAAAAATTCTATATTTGTCTTGCTTCCCCAAGATTTAGACTTTGTGCAAAGAACTGTTCTGATTCTATAGGGTGTTTTATGTGTTATATTACTTAAGGGATTAGTAAAGAAACTATGAGAATAGGACACAATGAATTATAGGTTATAGTCTTTTATGAATTCTAGTTTTGTTGAACTTTTATACCATTTCTTTGAATTCAAATAATGAGCATATTGTTGTTTTCTTTTAAAATCAGCCCTGTGAAGTTAGCATGGGTTCCTTTTCCTAAACTTAATTTTATCTTTTTAATTTAATGGATAAAAGAAAATCAATGGAATAAAATTAATTTATCCTTTAAATTGATTTTATCTTTTTACTTTATTTTATTTTATTTTTATTATTATTATATTTTGAGATGGAGTCACGCTCTGTCGCCCAGGCTGAAGTGCAGTGGTGCAATCTCGGCTCACTGCAAGCTCCGCCTCCCAGGTTCACGCAGTTCTCCTGCCTCAGCCTCCCGAGTAGCTGGCACTACAGGCACCCACCCACACGCCCAGCTAATTTTTTGTATTTTTAAGTAGAGACAGGGTTTCACTGTGTTAGCCAGGGTGGTCTCAATTTCTGGACCTCGCGATCCGCCCACTTTGGCCTGCCGAAGTGCTGGGATTACAGGTGTGAACCACCGCGCCCGGCTACTGTTTTCTTAAACATAATCAATATGAGTCATACTAGGAATGTGCTATTCTATTGTTAGTTAGGGGCTTATGTACCCAGAAATTGCCTTACCTCATGAGTTACAGTATAGATGTGCTAAGATTTGCTTTCAAGAGCCAGTTTTTGTATAACTTAGGTGTCTTTTTTATTTTTACTTGATGAAAAGAAAAATGTAGAAGACTTAACTGGATAAAAGATAAAAACTTTTTATTAATATTTTTATCCTCTCAATATTTCGATAACTTTTGTTTCACTTTAGGTGAACTCCAGAAAGCCATTGACTTATTCACAGATGCCATCAAGCTGAATCCTCGCTTGGCCATTTTGTATGCCAAGAGGGCCAGGTGAGAACTCTAAACAGAAAAGCATCCCCTGCCGAATAATTTCTGCACATTTGTTTAAATAGAGTTGCTTCTGTGTTGATCCCAAAAGTTTTACTGAAATGAATACTTTTTAATAACACTTATTTTTCAGTGTCTTCGTCAAATTACAGAAGCCAAATGCTGCTATCCGAGACTGTGACAGAGCCATTGAGATAAATCCTGATTCAGCTCAGCCTTACAAGTGGCGAGGGAAAGCACACAGGTAAATAATTGAATTTAATTATTTTCAGAACTCTTTACATTTAAATCTGATGTTTTAAGATGCTTTGTTTAAACAAAAATACAGAAGTTCCTAATGACTTAATTTTCAAATTAGTATGTACTTAGTGTCAAGAAATGAGATAGCTTGTAGACAGCTGCTTAAAAGGCAAAAGAAAAAAAGGAAATTTTTTAAAAAAGGAAGTGAGAATATAGAAAGGAAGAAATAAAATAAAAATTCTTTTCATTTTTTTCATTCAAATGAAGCTACTTTTACCAGTTTTTGACTACATATGGCCAAATATAAGGTAAGGATTTTTCCTTAAAATTAATTCCAGGAAAAGAAAGAATGATCTTTTATCAGTGTCCTTACAAATTTTCTCTTACTTTCAGACTCTGTAAGTTAGCATTGAATTACCAATGTATTATAGAAGAAGGAGTATGCCAGCCTGAAACTACTTCAGTCACTGCTAGGCCACCTGAAAAATTAGGAAAAGGAAGGGGGGCATAAAGAGGGGAATTTAACCCAGATTAGTAATTATACCTTGCAGCAAAACCTACGAATATTTGTATCTTGGGGATGAAGCGTTCAGTGACTTTCACATGTTACATGGGTTGAAAGGTCTTATACCTCAAATGTGGATGGAAGTAAAGATGGATATGTTTAGGACAACTGTATTAGCTGACTCAGAGTAGCTCTAGTGGATTTTATGACGCATTAAAGATAAACATTAAAAGTTGAAATAAAATTTATTAATGCTGTGTCAGCACAGGAAAAGCGCATGCATTGCTGTTGATCCCTTTTGAAATCCCATTAGTCCAAGTTTTTCTTTCCCTTCTAATACAAGACAGCATTGGCTCATCTTGTGCTTTGCTTGTCTCAGACTGAAAATAAGCCATTTCTGTGGGAAATCATGGTTCATTATAGTGGAAACTAAGATTTGATCACTATGCGTGTTCATTGCTTCTGGTATGTACTGTCATTTCAGTGAACAGCTAGAAAAAGACATTTTAAAAATCATGTATTTAAGGAAAAAATGCTTGAAATTATGAGTTTATACTGATATTTTCTATTAAAATTTAACATTAAATGTTTTGTTTTACCTTTTAGTTTGTATTTTTGACACTTAACGTAAAAATTTTTGTCCTAGTTTTACATTTACTTACTACAGTGCTATGATATACATAAAACTGTTTCAGAATTATAATACCTTAAAAACAGTATATGCCCTAAGTAAAGTTTGAAGGTTTTTTTGGAAGTTTTTGTTTTGCTTTGTCTTTTGTTTTTAGACAGAGTCTCACTCTGTCACCCAGGCTGGAGTGCAGTGGTGCAATCTTGGCTCACTGCAACTTTCGCCTCCCAGGTTCAAGTGATTCTCCTGCCTCAGCCAGCCTCCTGAGTAGCTGGGATTACTTACAGTCATGCCCCACCATGCCCAGCTAATGTTTTGTATTTTTGGTAGAAAGGGGGTTTAGCCCATTGGCCAGGATATTCTCAAACTCCTGGCCTCAAGTGATCTGCCCTCCTTTCCCTCCCAAAACATTAGGATTACAGGCATGACCCAAGGATGTTCTTATTAGAATATATATCCCACTTGAAATATACAGTCAAGATAACGGTATGAAAAGTTACTTGAGGCCGGGCGCGGTGGCTCAAGCCTGTAATCCCAGCACTTTGGGAGGCCGAGGCGGGCGGATCACAAGGTCAGGAGATCGAGACCACAGTGAAACCCCGTCTCTACTAAAAATACAAAAAATTAGCTGGGCGCGGTGGCGGGCGCCTGTAGTCCTAGCTACTCAGGAGGCTGAGGCAGGAGAATGGCATGAACCCAGGAGGCGGAGCTTGCAGTGAGCCGAGATCGCGCCACTGCACTCCAGCCTGGGCAACAGCGTGAGACTCCGTCTCAAAAAAAAAAAAAATAAAATAAAAAAGTTGAATTTGTTTTTTCTGTGTAGCTTATGTTGTTAATAAAATACACAGTTTTTTGTTTTTTGTTTTGAGGAGTTTTGCTCTTTCACCCTGGCTGGAGTAAAGTGGTGCAATCTCGGCTCATTGCACCCCCTTCACCCCGCCCCGGGCTCAAGCGGTTCTCCTGCCTCAGCCTCGCTAGTAGCTGGGATTACAGGTGTGCACTACCATGTCTGGCAAATTTTTTATTTTAGAGATGGGGTTTTGCCACGTTGGCCAGGCTGGTCTTGAACTCCTGACCTCAGGTGATTCACCAGCCTCAGCCTCCCAGAGTGCTAGGATAACAGGCATGAGCCATTGCGCCTAGCCATAGCTTATTTCTGTTTTTTTTTTTTTTGAGATGGAGTCTTCCTCTGTCACCCAGGATAGAGTGCAGTGGTGTGATCTTGGCTCATTGCAAGCTCCGCCTCCCGGGTTCATGCCATTCTCCTGCCTCAGCCTTCCGAGTAGCGAGGACTACAGGTGTCTGCCACCACGGCTGGCTAATTTTTTGTATTTTTAGTAGAGACAAGGTTTCACCATGTTAGCCAGGATGGTCTTGATCTCCTGACCTCACGATCTGTCCGCCTCAGCTTCCCAAAGTGCTGGGATTACAGACATGAGCCACCGCACCCAGCCACACAGCTTATTTGTTTGTATTGAGGTTTAGGATTTGCTTTATTTCCATTTTTCTGATTTTATTTTTTGAGTATGTAAAGCATTTAAATGTTTGAAGAGTTACACCTGAGTTAAAAGGTATACCCAGAGAATTGTAAATTTCCGTTGCTGTCTCCTGTACCCCATTCTCACCTACCCCCACCAATCTGTAGTTTCTGGCTTACCTGTTCTGTGTTTTTCATAAAGCCTGTATACGTGTATTATTTTCTCTTCTGTCTTACATAGAAGGTAGCTAAAAGCTAACACATTATGTTAGTCCTGGTTTGGGTGAGTTGAAAGTTACTGCTCTATATACTTTTTAGAAAATTTTATGATACTCTGAATTAAGAAAAATTTTGTTTTTTAGCTTTTAGTAGGAGATCAGCTTTAAATAGAGGAAATTTAAATGTTTTTATAGAGTTAACTAAAGTGGGATATAGTAACTGAATTGGTTGGTGAAAGTTTATAGTTAATATTTAACTTAAGCCTGTTTTAGAACAATCTTTTTTTTTTTTTTTTTAAGGAAAAAAAGATACCATGCCACATAGGTGAATATGTATAAAAGGCTCCTAAAATGAGTGTAAATCTGTTTCAGACTTCTAGGCCACTGGGAAGAAGCAGCCCATGATCTTGCCCTTGCCTGTAAATTGGATTATGATGAAGATGCTAGTGCAATGCTGAAAGAAGTTCAACCTAGGGTATGTTAAAGTAGAGAAAGGAAAGTCATTAGTTTAATACTCCATCGCTCGAGTGCTTAGCCCCTGACAGCTGTAATTCATCTGAAAAATAGGCAAAGAAACTATCGGAAGATATAATCTGTAATTGCTGAAGTTTGTGCTCAACTCTGGAGATCTCATTAGGTTTTCATTTCTCATGCATTATTAGAGCAAACTCTGTTACTTTGGAAGCTTGCAGTGGAATTATAACCAGAAAATTAGAAAAGAGGGTATCAGGTTTACAACAAGGAAACAAATAGAAAATCTATAATTAGCATTACCCAAGATTGAATCTGATGTGTCCTTAGATATCATAGGTGTATACAGCCACTTTATAAAGCAAGAAGCCTTGTGGAAGTTAAGAAGTTTCAGTCTTCCGGCCGGGCGCAGTGCCTCACGCCTGTAATCCCAACACTTTGGGAGGCCAAGGCGGGTGGATCATGAGGTCAGAAGTTCAAGACCAGCCTGGCCAACATAGTGAAACCCTGTGTCTCCTAAACACAAAAAATTAGCTGGGTGTGGTGGCATGCGCCTGTAATCCCAGCTACTTGGGAGGCTGAGGCAGGAGAATCACTTGAACCTGGGAGGTGGAAGGTTGCAGTGAGCTAAGATCAGGCCACTGCACTCCAGCCTGGGTGACAGAGCGAAGCTGTCTTAATAAAACAAAGAATTTTCAATCTTTAAAAAATAATAATATTGAATCCCAAAGGTAGAACATTCCAGCTTTTAAGGATGATTTTTCTCTGAAATTGTTGGTTAAGATAATATTAATGTGTTTACATGGTAAATCTTTCATTCTGTGGGAAGTTCAACTGTCAGGAATTTACTCTGAGATTTTAAGATAGTGGAAATTGTATTGAATTTAATTATTTACTGCCAGAGAGTTCATTTGGTTTTCTGTTTTCTTCTTAAAATAGGGCAAAGTTGTAACTTTGTCAGCAAAGTATAAACAAGCTAAAGTGACAGTTGAATATGAATCTCTTAAATTTACTTTATTCTCTGAGGAAATAACAGATCCAGAGCATTTATTTGATACTACTAACTAGTGTCTGGTACACATATTTACATTTTCCCCTCTTAATCCCTATAGCAATTTGATAAGACTAAATATTTCTTCCTCTCCTATTTTATGGATACAGAAGCTTAAATATACTGTGACATATACTTGGTGTATGTGTTCCCAGTTTTTGCCTTCCCAGGTTGACATCCGTAATGATACTCTTTCCACTGATCTCAGCTGTCCTTCTGAAACCTAAACACTGTATCTGGTAGAAACTAGCAGGCAAGAATTGTCATGCACTTAGAAACCTATTTGTTAATCTTTGAGCTTAATTGTTTGAGATTGTAACATTTCTAACTTCAAATCCCAGGCCCCTTTACTCTGTTTTACAGTGCCTCGTGCAGTTGAGGTTGGTTTTGTTAAAGCCTGAGCTTGTGTTAGGTCTTTTTCTACAAGACAAATCTGTCATTTTTCTGAACTGCATGTTGAATTAAACATCTCTCCACAAAAAATATTTGTGTTGATGTTATTCAGCTTTTGGAGCAGGCTTATTTTGCTATGGCTCTTTTTTCTAGGCACAGAAAATTGCGGAACATCGGAGAAAGTATGAGCGGAAACGTGAAGAGCGAGAGATCAAAGAAAGAATAGAACGAGTTAAAAAGGCTCGAGAAGAGCATGAGAGAGCCCAGAGGGTAAATTTCCTATAGCAAAGCCATGAAAGGAAAATACAGCAAATTATATAGAGGTTTTAGGACACTAAAATTCTAATTGCTGGCTCTTTTATTTAATGCTGGCTACAGTTCTATAGAGTAATGATATTATGTATAAGGAGTCTCCTTTCACTGTGTCTAATTTTGGGGGCATTTTTAGTCTTTTTTGTTTTGTTTTGTTTTGTTTTGTTTTGTTTTGTTTTGAGACGGAGTCTCGCTCTGTCGCCCAGGCTGGAGTGCAGTGGCGCGATCTCGGCTCACTGCAAGCTCCGCCTCCTGGGTTTACGCCATTCTCCTGCCTCAGCCTCCTGAGTAGCTGGGACTACAGGCGCCCGCCACCGCGCCCGGCTAATTTTTTGTATTTTTAGTAGAGACGGGGTTTCACCGTGGTCTCGATCTCCTGACCTTGTGATCCGCCCGCCTCGGCCTCCCAAAGTGCTGGGATTACAGGCGTGAGCCACCGCGCCCGGCCTATTTTTAGTCTTAAATTCTTCAGTGAGCTTTTATTTCACCATTTTATATTCTTGTTTGTGTTTTTATAAAATCAGGAGTTTTTCCAGATCAGGTAATTGAAACGTGGCAGTATTATTGTTTGATCTTTTGAGGATGCTTGGCCAGATTAATTCAATTTATGATTCCTCCTCTCTTCCAACAGTGGATGCGTTGCTATTTACAATTGATTCTAGCAGGGTAAGGTGGCAAGTGCCTGTAGTCCCAGCTGTTTGGGAGGCTGAGGTGGGAGGTTCACTTGAGCCCAGGAGTTCGAGACTAGCCTGGGCAACATCGTGTGATGCTGTCTCTTTAAAAAATAACAATAATTCATCTACTCATTTCTAACGTTGAATGAAGGAACATAAGGCTGTATTATATAACTCATTTCTAATTTTTTGTCCATTTAATATTAAGCATCAATACTTGATTTTAAGGTTATAGTTTATAATCTGTAAAAGTAATTTATCTCCTTGATATTTAAAAGCAATATATCTCCTTGATAATTTTATAACTACATGTGAGGGAAATTTATTTTTCATTCATTTTCTTTTAAAAAGCAGCAAAAACAAATCAATAAATCTACATTTGTATTATGTAGGGAGAGTATGGAAAAGATGTACCTAGGAAACAAAAGTCATGGTAGTCTTGGTAATCTAGCCACGTCCTTCCCTGTAGGTGTTTTAAAACCAGGATGAATTTAGAGTTTTCATATTAATACTGTAAATTGTTTTCCAGGTTTGTTTCCAGAGTAGAAGTAAAACACTTGAAATTATTACAGAGAATAATGCCCACTGAGAATCCAGTTGGAAAAAATGTTGGAAGGGGGTATGGGGTATATCCTTTAGTTCAGTATTGCCATCTACTAGGTTATTTTACAATTTTTTCATGGTCTTGCATGGACAAGTTGAATGGACAGCACTTATTTCTTCTTTTATTATATAATTTATTTCCTTTTGTGTCAAAGGAGGAAGAAGCCAGACGACAGTCAGGAGCTCAGTATGGCTCTTTTCCAGGTATATTTAAAGAAAAGTTGAAATTTGTTCTATTATACAGTGATATTCTAATATAATACTCAATATTTATTATAACGTGATGTTCTAATTTTGTTCTCTTATACAGTGATATTCATGAAGAACTTAGGTAAAAGAAGTGATGGAATTATTAGGCATAAAAATGATGTTTTGAGTCCAGTGTAAAAATAGCATATTATTCTTTTTCTTTCAAATGTGATCAGAAATTGCTAGTGAGGCAAATCTTTGAATACCAGAGGACAGGACTAACACGGAGATAGAAGAGATGGAAAAGGCACGCAGAAGATTTATTGAGTACTTCCTGATTACGACAGTGTGGAATTTATATAAAGACTAGGACAAGACTTAATTTTTTGTTTTTTAAACAGCTGTCTCCAGTTGTTCAATGGTAACTAGCTTTCTCTTAAGGAAAGTTTTTAGAGGCTATTTATGCTTATATGTCACTGGTTAGAACTTAGCTGCATGATCTGAGACTAGAAAATCTAGTGCACAGCAACAGAATTCAAACCTAGAACAAATACTGAGGATGACCTGACGTTTGAAGAAAAAGCAAGAAATTAAATTTAGCTCATAGTTTACTTCCTATTTAAAATATAAATAATCTTATTGTCAGATACCTTTGTTTTGGAAAGTGACTGCTAATGTTGGGCTAGTACTAGAGATAATTTTCTGTTATGTACATTTTATTTAGATTGACAAGCCTTGGGTCAGTAATTGTGTTATGGGTAGGCACTAATTTTTCAAAGCATTGGGGTAAGTAGGGACAGCAAGAGAAGCTAGAAGTTGTTTTATGGTCCCCTTAGATTTCTTCATCTGTGGTTGTTAGTTATTAATGGCCATGTTTTAATCACTGTTGAGGCAGGTAGAAATGACTTTATCATGTGTTTCCTTCTTTAAAACGGCTTTACTTACAGTGACCCTTTGTAGAATACATTGTTATCTTTCTCTATATTATTAATTATAATTTTAGAGTATCTCCAGTAGACATACATGTTTGTGATATTGAAGAACAGAGTAGATTATTTGGGTTTATAATCTAACAAATTATACTGGGAGGATAAAATCCTTTTTGCTGGAGCATTATTCTCTGTAAAGAAGCACCAGGATTTCTTGTTAAAAATGCAGGTTTCCAGTTTAACTTTCAGATAATTTTTATTTTATTGGAGATGGAAATGAAAAATCAACAGATAAACAAGCCTTTAAAGTAGTCCTTAACTGAAGGAAGATCTGTGCTAGATGAGTATAATTGAAACAAAAACCTAAACTCATATGAATCAATTTTAAATTGAAACAGACAAATATTCAAGAATGGAAAGTTGAAAGATGATCAAAATGACTATAATCTAAGGAACTGTTAGATGACTCTTTGTTTTTAAGGTGAAATTAGTCTTTTTTTTAACAGTGTTATTACTAGAAAACAGTTGCTGAGCACAGTGGCTCACACTGGTAATCCCAGCATTTTGGGAGGTTGAAGCAGGCAGATCACCTGGGGTCAGGAGTTCGAGAGTGGCCCGGCCAACGTGATGAAACCCCGTCTCTACTAAAAATACAAAACTTAGGTGTAGTGGTGCGTGCCTGTAGTCTCATCTACTTGGGAGACTGAGGCAGGAGAATTGCTTAAACCCGGGAGGCAGAGGTTGCAGTCAGCCAAGATGGCACCAGTGCACTGTAGCCTGGGTGACAGAACAGGACTCTGTCTTAAGACAAACAAAAATAAAAAACTGTTATTACTAGAAAAATGCTGATCCAGGCGGTAGCAAAGTGAGATTTACAGCCTTGTTTTTTTGTTTTTTTTTTTTTTTTTTGAGACGGAGTCTCGCTCTGTCGCCCGGGCTGGAGTGCAGTGGTCGGATCTCAGCTCACTACAAGCTCCGCCTCCCGGGTTTACGCCATTCTCCTGCCTCAGCCTCCCGAATAGCTGGGACTACAGGTGCCCGCCACCTCGCCCGGCTAGTTTTTTGTATTTTTTTTAGTAGAGACGGGGTTTCACCGTGTTAGCCAGGATGGTCTCGATCTCCTGACCTCGTGATCCGCCCGCCTCGGCCTCCCAGAGTGCTGGGATTACAGGCTTGAGCCACCGCGCCCGGCCCACAGCCTTGTTTTTTAAGAGATAATTAGAAGCTATAACTTGTGTCTTGTGTCAGTCTGATTAGAATTTTCAGACTCTTCAGACTACTTCGTGCTTAGTGGCACCCTTATTCGTTGAACCTGTGCTTTTTGTGGATGAAGTACTGTGACAGAATATTTGGGAGTATGATTAGTGTCTCTTCATTTTTTATTACAGGTGGCTTTCCTGGGGGAATGCCTGGTAGTTTTCCCGGAGGAATGCCTGGAATGGGAGGGGCCATGCCTGGAATGGCTGGAATGCCTGGACTCAATGAAATTCTTAGTGATCCAGAGGTTCTTGCAGCCATGCAGGTAAGACTTGGAAGAACTTTGGACTTTGCATCATTAAGGCAATTATTTCATAATTCTGTGTGGAGACAAAGGTTACTCTTGTAGCTATTTTTTATTTATCACAGTTATCAAATAGCTAATTATGCAGGAGTGACATTTATGTTCTTTATGCAGAGTGAGTAAATTAAATTTTTAAAACTAGGAAATACTTAGTAATGATTGGCAATTATATCCAGTTGTCCTTTTCTTTGTATCACAATTGTGCTTTTTTCATCATATAGTTCAAATGACATAATTCAGCTTGATTTTGATACTTCAAGCACTTGTCTAAACGCCATTTAACTATGACCAAATTATAGGTCTAAATAAGAGATGGAATTTAGAATAATAAACTTATTGACCCAGTAGGATACTTTTTAAATACTAACAAACCCTTTGTTTTCAGGATCCAGAAGTTATGGTGGCCTTCCAGGATGTGGCTCAGAACCCAGCAAATATGTCAAAATACCAGAGCAACCCAAAGGTTATGAATCTCATCAGTAAATTGTCAGCCAAATTTGGAGGTCAAGCGTAATGCCCTTCTGATAAATAAAGCCCTTGCTGAAGGAAAAGCAACCTAGATCACCTTATGGATGTCGCAATAATACAAACCAGTGTACCTCTGACCTTCTCATCAAGAGAGCTGGGGTGCTTTGAAGATAATCCCTACCCCTCTCCCCCAAATTCAGCTGAAGCATTTTACAGTGGTTTGCCATTAGGGTATTCATTCAGATAATGTTTTCCTACTAGGAATTACAAACTTTAAACACTTTTTAAATATTCAAAATATTTAAAACAAATTTAAAGGGTCTGTTAATTCTTATATTTTTCTTTACTGATCATTTTGGATTTTTTTTCTTTGAATTGGGCAGGGAAGATATGTATGGAAGATTATTGCTCTAATTTGAGTGAAATAAAAGTTACTAGTGTGAGGCAAACATAACTCATTTGAGGATAAAATTTGTGTTAGATATGTGGTTCCTGATGCATTTTGACTTGTCTTTTTAAATGCTTTATCTTTTTCTTTAAAGATTTATTTCAATAAAACTAATTGGGACCACCCGTATTTCAGTAGGACCTGGGTAGGGATTGGAAGTACTTAGCAGGGCAGCAGCAGTCTTGCTGTGTTTTATATAACATGCATCCTTGGGCAGGTTGCCCTTAAATCTTACACTGTGGTGAAGGGATGATTTTTTTTGTAATGCTGCAGTAGAGTTGGAGTTCTCTTCTTGTCCAGTATATCTAATAAGTGTTTCATATTATTTCCACATAAGGGAAATAAGGGAGTACTTTTCTTTTTATATTTTTACGCTTAAAATTCTCTTTCCTAGTCAAAAATTGCCCAACTCTGTGTTTGTTTTCTGCTTGTTAGGTTTTTCTCCCTTTTCTTGGGCTAAAGACAGGCTTTTTCCACCAGCATCATCACTGCTATCATCATTAACAGCATAATTATACAAGCATATTTAATGCTGAGTTTAATTTAATATGTAATACATATGGTAATTGTAGGGTAATACCCACAACAACTGTAGTTTCTTACTTGGCCAAGAGAATGCTTATTTAAGTGTTAGACTTCCGTTCTGGCAAAATCTTGCCATATCAGAAGACATTGGAAAGAGGGATTCCCTTTGGTGTTTGGTCTTCTACTTAGAAAATACTTATTGCAGTTAGAGTTTATCTTGTAGTATTCATCTTTATATTCTGAAGATAATATGGTTTGAATTAAGTTGATATACACAGAGGGGAACCAATTTTTTTGATCCAATGTGAATTATAAATGAGATAATCCACAGTTATTCATTGTGGAGTTGTTGAGACTATGAAAGACTCATTGTCTTTGTATTCAGCTCTTAAATAGTGTAACCATACCCCCACCTCTGCTTGCTTTCTTTCCCTCCCCTCCGATGATAAAGAAAATGATAAATTTTCTGTTGTGCATTCAATTCTTATTTTAAATAAGACTAAGTATAGGCATTGTACCTGACATTGCTACGTTTCTACCAGTGTTTCAATTTAAAGTGCTAGTGTTTAAAAACATTTTCAAGGGATAAGACCTTCTGTATTTTGCTTATTTGAAGAATCAGTGGTAGGAGCAGTGAAGTAAATTCTATGGAGTACATTTCTAAAATCATAAATAAGTTTATTCAGGTTCTAACCCTTTGCTGTACACAAGCAGACAGAAATGCATCTGTTACATAAATGAGAAAAAGCTATTATGCTGATGGAGCATGCTGCTTAAATCCTTTAAAAACACTCACCATATAAACTTGGATTTGAGGTTGTGTGTTCTTTTTCTTAACGTGTAGAGTTCTCCTTTCTCAAAATTGCCAGTGCGTACTTGGCTTAACTGAAGAACAGTTTCTTCTGGATTCCTTATTTGATTTATTTAACCTAATTATATTCTAATATTGCAAATATTACCATAAGTGGGTAAAAGTAAAATTACTCTTCTGAAAATGTGTCCTGTGCTTTTAGATTTTTAAATTCCATAATATACATTCTTAATTTTCAACTCAATATTCTAAACTAGAAATGTTTTCTTGTACTAATGATGCTATCAGAAGGAAGTTTTTTTCTGCTTAAAAATATAGTTATGTTTCTAGCTATGTTAAAAAATACGGTTTCAAACTGGATTTTGGGCGGGTGCGGTGGCTCACGCCTGTAATACCAACACTTTGGGAGGCCGAGGCAGGCAGATCAGGAGTTTGAGACCAGCCTGGCCAACATGGCGAAATCCTGTCTCTACTAAAAAATACAAAAATTGCTGGGTGTGGTGGCTCACTCCTGTAATCCCAGCACTTTGGGAGGCCAAGGTGGGCAGATCACGAGGTCAAGAGATCAAGACCATCCTGGCCAATATGGTGAAACCCTGTCTCTACTAAAAAATACAAAAAAAACTAGCCAGGCGTGGTGGTGGGCGCCTGTAGTCCCAGCTTCTTGGGAGGCTGAGGCAGGAGAAGGGCATGAACCCAGGAAGCAGAGCTTGCAGTGAGCCGAGATTGTGCCACTGCACTCCAGCCTGGGTGACATAGCAAGACTCTGTCTCAAAAAAAAAAAAAAAAAAAAAACACAAAATTTAGCCAGGCATGGTGTTGGGCACCTGTAATCCCAGCTACTCGGGAGGCTGAGGCAGGAGAATCACTTGAACCTGGGAGGCGGAGGTTGCAGTGAGCTGAGATCGTAAAACACTGCCTCAAAAAACAAAAACTAGATATTAATTCCCCCACCCCCCGCCCCTGCCTTTTTGTAGCATATGTTCTATTTATGTCTCTGGTACTCAAGTTATTTACTAGGTATATTAGGCTGCAGACTATTAAGTGCTGCAAACAAGAACCCCTAAAAAACAGGTACTTTATTTTGAGTAGCTGTTCAGAGGCAGGCATTCTGCCATACATAGAAGGTAGCTTCCATTTCTAGGTCCAAAGTTGCTTGCTCTGGTGCTCATCCTCCAATTGAGGAAATAGGAGAAGGGGGGTCTGGGAAACATGCTGAGATACTGAAGCTAATATATGAAGTTAACATTTTATTACTTCTAATATCCCATTGGTCAGTTTGTGTGTTGAGGCTCTGTTTAGCTGCAGCGAAAGCCAGTTTGTCATCCATAACTGTGTGGTCACGTGCTCAAGAAAAAACTTACGTAGAAACAGGAAAGACTTGGGGTGACACCTAGCAGTCTACCATACTAGGAAATACTAGTATGATAAGATAAAGGAGAAACAATTTCAGAGATTTGCTCATGACTAAAATGAATGCATTTTGAGTAGGCACAGGTAAGTAGTGTTTGTGCCAAACCCTGTTAATCGTTTGCAAGTATTGGATCAATTCTGATAATGACCATAAGGGTAGGTACTGTTAGCACCACTTTACAATTTTATAGATAAGGAAACTGAAGCACTTAATAAGTAAATTGCCCAGGATAACACAGCTGATTATTTGTAAAGCTGAAATTCTTGAATACAGAGGTTTGTGGCTTCAAAGGGCTTCCTCCCAAACTCTATACTGTGCTGCCTGCGTACAAGGTTGATTCCTGCAGAATTGTTTAAGGAACTGAAAACAACTAAAATGTACATTTGAATAAGGTTGGTTAAATAAGGAATGTCACACACTTGATGTGCTGATGTATACATCCAGGGGGTTTCTTCCTAATAGTAAGGGACACAGCATAATTGAAGTACATGACAAGCCCCCAAATAAGGGCAAGAATAAGTAAAAGAATTACAGCACAGTAATTCTAAAAAGGTCATTATGTGCCAGTATTTACAACCAGTATATAATGTACTTAATAGAGCTCATGCAGTTTGGGGAGGAAAATAGCCTAAGGTAAATAGGCAACAACAGTGAATAACTGTTGAGCTTTAAAGAGCAAATGTAAATAGTATGCCTGTCAAGTTGGCAGTTTTTCCGTGAGACCTTTTGTATAGTGCTGGTGGAAGTGGAAGTTTATGGTTTTCTATAAAGTTGTTTAGCAGTAAACTAAAAATTATGTTTGGTGAAATCCTGATTTTAAAATTACGGCTCTAAGAAGCCAGGAGGTAAGTAGAACTAATAGAAATGTCTATGGTGCTCTGAAAATCTAGGACTCTTATACATAATTAAGTAGTTCACTCACACACATCACTGGGACATTTTTAGATTGCAGGGTAAGTAACCTGACCATACTTAAGCCAGTGTAAAAGCAACATACATGAAATGGCAAGTACTAGCTAGGTTCCTTTAATTCTTACAGCATGGGTGTTTACAGAATGGCCCCAAATTTTTTATATACTTTATGTAGTGTCAAGGGATATGATGCTTGTATAATTCACAGGACCCTCTTTAAGGAAAAGAATGTAATTATGAACAACAAATTGGACACACAAGTGGATATTTGTTTAGAATGAAAAAAGCAGCCAAAAATTACAGTCCTTAGGTTTTTTGAAACAATCTTTCTCTGTCGCCCACACTGGAGTGCTGTGATGCGATCACAGCTCACTACAGCCCTGACCTGGGCTCAAGCAATCCTCCTACCTCAGCCTCCCAAGTAAATGTGACTGCAGGCATGCACCACCATGACCATCTGTTTTTGTTTTTAACAGCAATGAGGTCTTAACTTTGTTGTCCAGGCTGGTCTGGAACTCCTGGTTTCAAATAATCCTCCTGCCTTGGCCTCCCAAAGTACTGGGATTACAGACGTGAGCCACTGTGCTCAACTAAGTTATAATTTTTTAGAATTATGTCTCAGCTGGGCACAGTGGCTCATGCCTGTAATCCCAACACTTTGGGAGGCCAAGGCAGGGCGGATCACTTGAGGTCAGGAGTTTGAGACCAGCCTGGCGAACATGGTGAAACCCCGTCTCTACAAAAAAATACAAAAATTAGCTGGGGGTGGTGGTGCATGCCTATAGTCACAGCTACTTGGGAGGCAGAGGTTTCAGTGAGCTGAAGTTGCGCCACTGCACTCCAGCCTGGGCAACAAGAGCGAAACTGTCTCAAAAAAAAAAACATATATATATGAATAAAATTATGCCTCAAACGTCACAACTTCATAGTTCCATTTAATAACTGAGGTAGCTATGCAATGTCTACATTTTTCAGTGCATACTCTGATTATGTGAAAATGACACTGACTGGGTGCAGTGGCTCATACCTGTAATTCCAGCACTATGGGAGGCTGAGATGCGTGGATCACCTGAGGTCAGGAGTTCGAGACCAGCCTGGCCAACATGGTGAAACCCTTTCTCTACTAAAAATACAAAAATGAGCCAGGTATGGGGGCGTGCATCTGTAGTCCCAGCTACTTGGGAGGCTGAGGCAGGAGAATCACTTGAACCCGGGAGATGGAGGCTAAGGTGAGTCGAGGTCACGTCACTGCACTCCAGCGTGGACGACAGAGGGATACTCTGTCTCAAAAAAAAAAAAAAGTGACTACTGTTCTCAGTATGTCAGTCTTTAGTTGATCAGGCCGGGGGTGATGGCTCATACCTGTAATCCCAGCACTGTGGGAGGCTGAGGCGGGCAGATCACGAGGTCAAGAAATTGAGACCATCCTGACCAACATGATGAAACCTCGTCTCTACTAAAAATACAAAAATTAGCTGGGCGTGGTAGCGCGTGCCTATAATCCCGGCTACTCGGGAGGCTGAGGTAGGAAAATCACTTGAACCCCGGAGGTGGTGGTTGCAGTGAGCCGAGATTGCGCCATTGCACTCCTTCCTGGGCCACAAGAGTGAAACTCCATCTCAAAAAAAAAAAAGTTGCAAGGCCCAGTACAGTGGCTCATGCCTGTAATAGCAGCACTTTGGGTGGCTGAGGCAGGTGGATCACTTGAGCCCAGGAGTTCGAGATGGGAAACCCTGTCTCAGGTTTAAAAAAAAAAACAAACTGATCAAAATGTGTTTGGTAGCTAAGATATAAAAACGTCAAAACGAAGTATTAATGTTTTCATAACTATGATGCATAATCTAGTGTATTCTTGACAGCAAGCTCCCAATTTGATCAGGAGTCAGTGAGAACTGAGTTCTCAAGTTTTACAACCAACCAGTTTCTGGCTACGTTCCCGTGCCAAAATCCCTCTTTTTTTTTTTTTTTTTTTTGTTTTAGGAGTCTTGCTTTGTCCCAGGCTGGAGTGCCGTGGCGCAGTCTTGGCTCACTGCAACCTTTGCCTCCTGGGTTCAAGCGATTCTCCTGCCTCAGCCTCCCTAGTAGCTGCAGTTTCTACTTTGTAATTTCTACAAGGCACGTGCCACCATGTCCGGCTAATTTTTTCTATATTTAATAGAGACAAGGTTTTGCCATATGGGCCAGGCTGGTCTCAAACTTCTGACCTCAAGTGATCTGCCCGCCACAGCCTCCCAAAGTGCTAGGATTACAGGCCTGAGCCGCTGCGCCCAGCCCCAAATCATCTTCGCTTCACTTTTGGTCCTGCACGTTCACGTCATGATTCTATGGCGTGATGGGAATTTTCCTGGAAGCAGTATCTTCTGGAAATTTTGTGAAAACGGCCGAGTTAAACTTTGTTAGGACCCTCTCCTAGGGATTAAGTGTGACGTTGGGCATAAAACACTAACCCTGGCATGTAGTCAGCACTCAGGAGTTATCACAAGGGTATTCTAAAAGGAAACATGGTACAGACAAGTGGTGATGGTGTCTCATGAAAGAGTCCCTGAGGAGCATCCTGAAGCAGAATCTCACAGTATGACAGGTTAAAGCTGAATGTGGCTTCTTTAGTGCTATGTAATTTTGTTACTCACTTTGCAACATGGAAAAACATTTTTTTCCTTCAGTATTTTATGAAGTACTGCTACATAAACTGGCTTTCATAATCTTTACAGCAAACGGGGATTGTTGGTACTAGTACATTGTCATTTCACAAAGTTGGAAACCCAAGAGGTTAAATGACTTCCATAGTTGCCAACTAGGGGGAGGCTCCCACTCGCGTCTGGTATCTTGGTCTCCTGAGCTCAATATCTCTTCCTACC